TCTTTCACGAACAAATGCTTATGTAACTCCATATTGGCTTCCATTTATGGAGGATTGGCCTAACTTCCCACATCATAAAAATCTTGGAAAGAATGCTGAGACTTCAGATTACAAATTTCATGGAACAGTACAATTGGCATAACCAAAAACCAGCAAGGTTTTTTAAAGCAAGACAATCATATCTGTTGTTGGAACTATGTAACTTCTTTTTATAACACTAGCTGTCTCCCACTCAGGCAGGGTGACCTCCCACCCTCCCCCAAAAACACTTTCACCATCATTCACACACTCGCTGTCTTGCCAGAGGCACACAGATGTAACAGCTTAGATATCACTCTAAACAGCAAATATCCCAAACTCCTGTATAGAATTTTACTAAATTATGGCTGGATAAAGTCTGCAGAGTGCATTACATCTCTCTTCTTAGGGAATTACTGCTAGAAAAGGGATCTCATAGAAGAAAAGTCACATACAACCCCACATAAATTGAGAAATTTTTGTGAGGAATAAAAAGGCACAATACCATGACTAGAACAGTACATAAATAACCCACATGTGGAAGAATGAACCTTATGATCAAAGTGGACTGAAATGTCATCATAAGTTTCCTTTTCTTATGTGCGAGTTATTTGTGAATTCTTGTACTTAGAATTATATTTCATCGAGTACGGTAGATGCAGTGTTATTGAGGAGATTAAATTGGCTTAGAAGTTCATTCTCTGTGAGCGAAATTTTTTAATAGCAGTTTTCACAAGCTTTTAATTTTTATCTTTACGAGGAGGTCGTCTTGATGCTGATGAAAGGCTCTTGATTCAAATATACATAGCTGTCTTCATCTCCTTTGGATTTAACCAGATTACCTCCTATTCAGTAGGCACATTGCTGGGCCACCACATGGGGAAGACCCGGGCCAGGACCCATCCTGGCAAACCTACATGAACATCAGTAGGCACTGTATAATCCATGCACATAATAGCAAGGTGGGAATCAGCCAATGTGATAGAAAAAAAGGGCTTTTGAAAACTGCTGTTGAAAAGGCTTGTATTGTTAGCTTAATCATGTATTTTGATATTAGAGAAAGATAAAATATAGTTTTCAAAACACAACCTTCCTGGTACAGAACTCGTCAGTACTTTTCAAAACAGACTTCTACTGATATGAAACTCTGACAGCTTTGCTCGCTGTTACACTATATAACAAACAGGCATTTTGTATATACATGATGACTGTATTGCTTGGCATTACCCTGCAGTGCCACCTGTTTTGTGGCCTGAAAATTCTCACTATAACGTTTGATGAGCACTGTTAATATTCTTATTGTTCATGATGTAATTTATCTACCATCTCTTCTCTCACTTCTGTCTTCTATCCTTTCTTTATCTCCTCTTTTTCTCCTTTCCTTCCTTGATCCTTTCCTTTTTCTCTCCTCCCTCCCCTTTGCTCTCCCTTCTCTCTCTCCTTTGCTTTCCCTTCTCTCCTCCTCATCCTTCTTTCCGCTGCTTTCCTAACTGCTTCACATTAGCAATAACCAGACCTTGTGTGGAATTCTCTCTGCAGATGTTTTTGATGCTACATGCATAATCTTTCAATTAACACTTGGAGGCATTTGAAATGTTGCAGACTAATTATACACATAGCCATCAGCTGAAAAATATGCAGAATAAATTTGAAACTTGCAGTTTAACTATATTTGTTTATATTGTGAGAGTGGCGTGTCACTCTTGTAATTAGTGGTGTGAGGACTGAGCCTCTTCCACTGTGATAATTTGCAGCAGTTGGGTATCTTTAATCTGTAACGTTTCACCTACACGTTAGACTTTTTCAGTTGAATACAGAGGAGGCAGCAGCAGTAGTAGAGTTGTAGATACAGCATAATGAGTCCATCAAGACATGTAGGTATGATGTAATCGGTTCATCACCCTCAAAGATGTAGTTTTGAGGTGGTCAGTCTTCAGGCTGAGGGACTGACCACCTCCAAACTACTAGAGTGATGGACTGATTACATAGTCTGTACATCTCTGCTACTGCTTCTGCCTACTCTGTATTCGACCGAAGAAACCTACTGCGTAAGAGAAACATTTCAGATTAAAGATACTGTACCTAACCGTTACACATGCATCATTCTTATCAACTTGTCAGTATTGTATATCACTGTCATATTCACCACTATACTGAATAACCATATGGGTTTACTGTTTTATATAAAGATAAATTGTAATACAATTTTATTATATATTTGTTGAAATCTCAATGCTCTAAAATTTATTACCAATTTAATCCCTCGAGTAATAAAAAAGGCGGTAGTTGTAATTTAAGTTGACGGGTTTGTTGGTTCCTATTTTGTGACGTGACTTAATTTAACTTGTCAGGAGCCTCTTCATTTGCCATTTTTTCAGTATTGCTTATAGCAGGGATGGGGGACCTTTTTATATTGGAAGGCCACATTAAAGTTAGATGTATTTTAAAAAGGCCACAGTCAAGAAATTTTGATTAGATACACTGCAAAATATTGGTTATTTTGTAAAAAGTTAATTATATAATTTCAAGAAAAAATTAATTCCTTCAGAAGGCCACACTAATGCAGGTTCCCCATTCCTGGATCATAGAATCTACTTGCATGCTAATTAAAATTATCACCCTTACTGGGGGTCTGCATTGATGCTGGTGAAGGGCTTTTGATCCCAAAAAACTGAATCAAATTTTATTGGCAGATGATGTAAGATCTCTGAAACCCTAATGTTTCCCTATAGCATAATAAAACAAGTTATGATTTTAAATGCTCCAATATTTTTCTAAATTTTCTTTATATCTTAAAAGTGTACTTACAATAGTGTGCTGCTTTGATTGTTGCCTCTGTAATGTGTTGAAAGTACAGTAATGCAGAATTTCAATTCTGAAATTGTTAATAGCATTTTGAGGGAATGCAGTTAGTGTGATTATGTTTGTGTATGCTAGAGTAGTGAGTCACTACATTGAAATGTAACTCCTTTCTAACATAGGCCTAACAGAAGCTAATATATTTTTCTGTTGAAACTGTTTTTGGTCTGAAACTATTTCTATATTAATCGTAACACCTCCACCAAAATAACATCTAAATGTTTTTATTCCTATAAAATCATGTCTGCATTTCTCCATTCATCAGATAATTCTACAAAACTATTTCCTCATGTTAATACATGTCTAATACATTTCCACAAATACCATTTAAGACTAGATATAGAAATTGATGAAGAATTAAACACGTGTGCAACATCTGGGTATCGTTATTTGTAGACGTTTTGCCATCCAGTGGCTCTATCAATACAGTACAAAGACATAATGTGAAGACAGTAGATCTATATACAAAACAAGAGGTAATGAGTTCCTCAGTCTTGAAGACTAGGGTGCTCATCACCATCTTCAAGAGTAAGGGACTGATCACCTTGTCTTTTGTATATAGTTGTACAGTTTTCACATTGTCCTTGTATTGATAAAACCACTGGATGATGCTACATCTGCAATAAAGATACCCAGATGTTGCACAGGTGTCTAAGTCTTCACCTTGATGGTATCGTATGCCAGTCACGTACATACAGTAATTGGGTTTTATATTTCGATCCTAAACCACTTTCAATAACAAAGCTACTTTACATTATTGTCCTAGATTTCATCTATTGTAATTATTTTTTTTGTTGGCTTATATATTTGAAAGTAGTTAGTAGAATATTAATAGCAGTGTTGCATGTTCCATATTATGTTACAAGTGTTATTGCACAGGTCAGTCACATGTTGATGGATAATAACACACTGAGTGGAAAACATGTGTATATTTCAGCTTCAGTCAGAGGCCCTCTTCACAAATGACCTTTTAAGGCAGCCTTTATGGTGAAGGGTTCTTGATCCAAGGAATTTCAGCTAACCTCCCCTCCTTGGATCAAACCTGATTACGTCTCCAGGTGCCACCTGGATCCTATATGTTCACTACTTCCTGTGAATATAATTAATATCCATTCCCCAGGCAGTGTATGACCCTTGTGGGTTTAGTGCTTCCCCATGAATATTATAATTACCTCGCATACCTCAGGCAGTGGACAACATCAGGGTTTAGTTTCTCATTGTGATAATCTTTGACAAATAAAGAGGGGGGGCCTTATCAGACAGAATTTTTTTTTCAACACCCCAGCCGTCTCCCACCAAGGTGCGGTGATGGTCGGTGTGTTAGGAAAAAATTGTCGAATCAGGGCTCCACTTTATTTGTTGACAATTATCATGGTAAGGCGCTATAAAGCAGTGTCATAGTAGGCTTATGCCACAAACAGTCTTAAAATAATATAACGGAGGAGTTCCGACTGAATAGTACACCACAGACAATAGTAGGAATGAATCCATTGGGGAGTATATTCGGACTAGTGTCATAATAGCAGTATACCTACTCTACTAAACCCAGAGGTCATACACTGCCTGGGATATGGGACAGAAATACCTGTCTCTCATCCACTCAGTGTTATATTTTCCATTCGTGTTGGATTTACCTGTGTGTTTGTTACACATTAATATAGTCTGCTTTTTTCAACATATAAAAGTGCATAAAATATGAGCTTAAAAAAATCAGTAATTCTTCAAAATATTGGCTTAAAACTTTTCAAGGATTATTTAGACTCTTGTATGTGTCTGATAATTTCTTATAATTCCAATTTAATAAAAAACCTCAAAGTATTTATGAATTCCTGGGAATTTTAATATTGAGTACATTTTTTATTTCCCTTCTTATAATCTTAAAAACAATGAGGCAGTTTTTTTAAATTTCTTGTTGCTACATAGAGTTATAAAGAATTTGTATAAATAAACATTGATAAAATTAAATAACACTTCATTATTACTATTATTTAAAAATCATTGAGAGTTATCACTGTTGGTCTATCAAAATTATATAGCAGCAGATTGAATTTAATAAAATACATAATAATAATGATAATAATAAGAATAATGGTAATAATATAGCGTGAAAACTTGGTTGACAGATTGAGTGGGGCCGGAACTCCTAGCGGTGGCAACGGAAGTGGAGGTTTTAGCGGCTACAAGAGTGGAGGTGTGGCCACTCCAGGCAGCGTACCCAGCTTACGATTAACAGGAGTTGCTGACGGTCCACCTCCATCAGTCGACTCCCCTGCCTCTATAACACCGTCACCGCTTCCGACGCCTCACTCTCAACCTCCGTCTGTGCCTCATCATGGTAAGTTCTGGCCTAGGGGTATGCACAAGTATTCAGTATCGGGTATTGGTAAATTTTAATGATATCGACCCAAAATAGAGTTTGGTATCAATCAGTTTTGATGGCATCATTATTGGTAGATAACAATCAGTTTTGATGGTATAAGTATCGGTGGGTATTGATCAATTTTGATGGTATCAGTATTGACCTATACAGCCTCCCTTTAGCGACATACAGTGGACCCTCGACCAGCGATATTAATCCGTTCCTGAGAGCTCATTGTTAATCGAAATAATCGTTAATCGAGTTAATTTTCCCCATAAGAGATAATGGAAATCAAATTAATCCATTCCTGACACTCCAAAGTATTGAAAAAAAAAATTTTACCACATGAAATATTAATTTTAATACACACAAACTGAAGAAGACATGCACAGTTACATGACACTTACCTTTATTGAAGATCTGGTGATGATTGATGGGATGGGAGGAGGGGAGAGTGTGGATCTTCTTAGTGTTAGAAGGAGCATCCCCTTCCATTAGGACTTGAGGTAGCAACTCTTTTTCCGGGGTTGCTTCCCTTGTTCTTTTAATGCCACTAGGACCAGCTTGAGAGTCACTGGACTTCTGTCGCACAACATATCTGTCCATAGAGGCCTGTACCTCCCGTTCCTTTATGACATTTCTAAAGTGTTTCACAACATTGTCAGTGTACAGGTTGCCAACACGGCTTGCAGTAGCTGTGTCAGGGTGATTTTCATCCATAAAGGTTTGCACTTTAAGCCACATTGCACAGATTTCCTTAATCTTAGAAGTAGGCAACTTCTTCAATTTCTCTGTCCCCTCCTCCTGAAGCAGTTTCCTCAGGTCTGGCCTCATGCTGATGAAGATGATCTAGCAGCTCATCAGTGGTTAGTTCTTCATTGTCCTCCTCCACCAACTCTTCCACATCCTCCCCACTAACCTCCAACCCCAAGGACTTCCCCAGTGCCACAATGGATTCCTCAACTGGCATAGGATTCTCAGGGTTAGCCTCAAACCCTTCAAAATCCTTTTGTCTACACATTCTGGCCACAGTTTTTTCCAAGCAGAGTTCAAGGCCCTCTTAGTCACTTCCTCCCAAGCCTTACCTATAATGTTTACACAATTGAGGATGGTAAAGTGATCTTTCCAAAACTCTCTTAGAGTCAGTGAGTTTCTGAGGTCACTACAAAGCACCTTTCAAACTAGCTTTTGTGTACAGTTTCTTGAAGTTGGAAATACTGCTGCCTGGCTGCAGGAGAGGAGTGGTATTAGGAGGCAAAAACTTCACCTTAATGAAGCTCATTTCCGCAGAAAGTCGCTCTGCCACGTCTGAAGGATGACCAGGAGCATTGTCTAATACCAGGAGGCACTTCAGGTCTAATTTCTTTTCAGTTAGGTAATTTTTCACAGTGGGGGCAAATGCATGGTGTAACCAGTCATAGAAAAAGTCCCTAGTGACCCATGCCTTACTGTTTGCCCTCCACAGCACACACAAATTAGCCTTGAGGACATTGTTTTTCCTGAACACACTGGGAGTTTCAGAGTGATACACCAATAAAGGCTTCACTTTGCAATCACCACTAGCATTGGCACACATCAACAGAGTAAGCCTGTCTTTCATAGGCTTATGTCCTGGGAGTGCCTTTTCCTCCTGAGTAATGTAGGTCCTGCTTGGCATTTTCTTCCAAAACAGGCCTGTTCCTTGAATTCATGCACATATTTTTCAGCTGCTTTGTGGTCCGAACTGGCAGCCTCACCATGCCTTATCACATTATAAATGCCACTACGCTTCTTAAATCTCTCAAACCAACCTTTGCTGGCCTTAAATTCACTCGCATCACCACTAGTTGCTGGCATGATCGCTTGAGAGATGCTATCTCCTGCTATCTGTTTTTCGTTTATCCACACCAATAAGAGTCTCTCAACATCTTCTATCACTTGCGATCTCAGTTTCGAAAACATAGTTGCACCTTTGGCAAGAACAGCTTCCTTGATTGCCGTTTTCTTGCCCACAATAGTAGCGATGGTTGATTGGGGTTTACTATACAACCTGACCAGCTCGGAGACACGCTTTCCACTCTCATACTTAGCAATGATCTCTTTCTTCATCTCCATAGTAATTCTCACCCTTTTTGCTGTAGGGTTGGCACTAGAAGCTTTCTTGGGGCCCATGGTCACTTATTTTGCAGGTGCAATCACTTCAAAGGCTGTGATAACATGAAATGTTTCAGTTGTATGTTTGGAAGCGACCGCAGTGGCTGGCTGGCTTGTAAACACTGGCACCCATGGGACAAGTGAGGCGCGCTCAAGCCAAAGTGGACGCGTCTCGAACGGAACGAATAGCGTTGGTCGGGTTTTTTAGTGCTAGTCGAGGCAAAATTTTTGCAATAAAATGTATCGCTAGTCGGATTTATCGTTAATCGATGCCATCGTTGGTTGAGGGTCCACTGTATTTGTTTACTGACGACTCAGAATTATGAAAGGCTCTGTGACCAGTGTGCATACCTAAATAATGTGTCTTAGAGCTGATTTCCTCTATTCTGTTTATTACAATATACACTGCTGTATAAACATTTAAAAATATACCAGAAATGTTATAAATGGTACAAAGGTGGCATTAAAACAATATCAAAGATGGTTGACACAAACCTACTACCATTATAGCATGATCCTCACTCAGCGATGAATTCATTTACCACCGTGGTCTTAGGAGCGAAACTCCATCGTTAAGTGAGGAGAGGCTGTAATTGAGTATAAGTCTTGACCAAAAATTTTGGTATTGTCCCATCTCTGGTGCAAACCTTGCTAGATAGACAGTGCCAAAAATCAGCAGGTGGAAATATTTATAATTATTTGGGATTTTATAATTCTTCAATGATGGTCACCCTTCCTTGGTGGGTGACGGCCGACACGTTGGAAAAAAAAGAAATAATTCTTGAGTGCCTGTTTAGAGAAATTTACAAGCACTCGCTCATCAGACCATAATACAACAGCATCGTTAAAAAAGAAAACTACAGACAGGCCTCACTCTACAGCATTTCACTAATGCAGTGGTTTTCAATTGTAGTTTTTTATTTATTCAGACTTCCTATAATAAATATATTCACCAGTCACTATAAGCTAGGGATGAAAATATCTTAAGGTTAGTAATGTGTGTACTGTATATGCATGTTTTTAGGCCTAATGTAAATATGTTATCAGACTTTTATATACATTTGAAAGTGAAAAATGGCTGTTTCACTTTACAGCAGTAGCCTGGAACTTAACCTGCTGTATAAGCAGGGCCCTACAGTAGCCTGGACCCTAATCTGCTGTATATGTGGGGCCCTACAGTAGCCTGGAACCTAATCTGCTGTATATGTGGGGCCTACAGTAGCGAAGAGTCTAACCTGCTGTATAAGTGGAGCCCTACAGTAGCCTGAAATCTACCTGCTGTATAAGCAGGGCCCTACAGTAGCCTGAAGCCTACCTGCTGTACAAGCTGGGCCCTACAGTAGCCCATAACCTAACTTTGATCCAAGGGATTGATGCTGCAATTCCTTGAATCAAGATTGCTTTGTCAAGGCACCTTCCTTGAAGGGTATACTTATACGAGTATTCATCGTAAACAAGACGAGAACTATCAATAACAGCGGGACTAACCCAGTTATTTCTTCTGCACTAGATCTCTACTCACTTTTTGTTCATCAAATGACATTTTTTTTTATTAAGTTAATAATTGGTAATGCACAAACAACCAGCAAATAAGGGAATGAAACTTGTTGCCACATTTCATCCTCTTATGTGTGGGTTATGTATTGTTCCAGTCACGGTATTAGTAATAATTTTGACCTTTCCACAGAGCCTCATGCCAACCTTTAAAGTACCTCCACCACCACCTTCTAATAATTAACCCAACTCTGATAATGGGTCCAACCTATCACCCACCCGGTGCACCTTATTGATCATAGATATGTAAAGCGCAACATCTCTGACATAATGGGTCCTAAGTCCGTATCATCGCCTAACAACCAGGTGAGTGCATCCCTTGTATTTGTATGCTAGGTGGTGGTGTTATACCTTGGTTCATTTGTAGGGTAAGAGCTGTTATCTTACCTTGGTTCATTTGTAAGGTAAGAGCTGTTGTTTTACCTTGGTTCATTTGTAGGGTAAGAGCTGTTTTCTTGGTTCATTGACATGGTAAGGGCTATTATCTTGGTTCATTTACAGGGTAACAGCTGTTATTCAACCTTGGTTCATTTACAGGGTAACAGCTGTTATTCACCTTAGTTCATTTATAGGGTAACAGCTGTTATTTACCTTAGTTCATTTACAGGGTAAGAGGTGTAATCCCATTTCAGGTGATTACAAGCCAAGTGCCACTATTCTGCCCCATTTTATTGAGAGGGGTAACAATTTTATGCTACCTCAGCTCATTTCAAAGATCAGCCCTAATGAAGACATTCTACCACCCCTGGTGTACTACCCACAACAGTTGACTAGGGCCCAGTACCTATTTACTGCTAAGTGAATAACAGTAATAGTAAGGAAACACATCTCCACCCACCCTCACCCCTTGAAGATCCCCCACATCCTGTGGGAATTTTTTTCTAAAACTTTTTACTTAGACATTATAATCAGTACCTTTTTTTTTTTTAGATTTAAATTTATTTTGATCTGTATTTTTCATTTATGTATTTTAGTTAATACAATGCAGCCTCTCCTCACTTAACGACGTACTCGTTTACGGATGCCTTGGACTTACAACGGGCTCTCTGACCGGTATTTATACCTAAATAATGTATATTAGAGCGGATTTCCTTTATTCTGTTTATTTCAGTATACAGATACACTACTATATAAACATATAAAAATATACCAGAAATGTTATAAATGGTACAAAGGTGACATTAAAACAATATCAAAGATGGTTTACACAAACCCACTACCATTATAGTATGATCCTCACTTAGCCACGAATTTGTTTAACGACGTGGTCTTAGGAACGGAACTCCATCGTTAAGTGAGGAGAGGCTGTAGTGCATCATGGGTGACTTGGTGCACTTGTTCCGAGAAGTATAATCTCTAGCACTTACAATTATTACAATAATTCCAGCAGTATTAATGTAGCCGGACTTGTGTCCTGGAAATGTGAAGTACATATTGGCAGTTTGGAGTGACTCATCTGTCTTATCTGGGCTCCTCTGCAAAGAGTGATTATGTATGAGTGATGGTGAAAGTGTCGAATGATAATGAAAGTTTTTTTTTTTGTTTCTTTTTGGTTTTTTTCTTTCTTTTTTTTTTTTCTTTTTTGGGTCACCCTGCCTTGGTGGGAAATGGTCAGTGTGTTAAAAAAATAAAGTATAGATAATTTAAGGCTAGTAGTATCATTATTATGGGAAAGTGGAGGGCAGGGGTTGCCCTTGGAAAGGTTGGAGGGAGGGGGGTAAAGGAGGTTTTGTGTGCAAGGGGGCTTCGACTTCCAGCAAGCGTACGTGAGCGCGTTAGATAAGAGGGAGTGGAGGGAAATGGTTTTTATGGTGATGTGCTGTTGGGGTGTGGTGTGAGCAAAGTATCATTTATGAAGGGATTTGGGGAAACTGGTTAGCTGGACTTGACTCCTGGAGGTGGGAAGTAACAATGCCTGCACTTTGAAGGAGGGGTGGAGATATGTTGCAGTTTTTGAACTATGGTGTTGGCACACCTCTGGCAAGACAGTGATGGAGTGAATGGTATGAAAGTGCTTCTTCTTTTTTGGGTTGTCCTGCCTTGGTGGGAAACAGCCGACGTGTTAATAAAAAATAATTAAGGTGACCTGTTTGTTGAATGATGATTTCATCTTTTCTTTTATACTGTAAAAAGGATCATTATTGGGAGCACAATGAAGGGTATATACACAGAGGTATGTATATATCTTTGTATATACATTGAAGGCTGTGATAGATATGTGGGGCAGTGGGCCACTAGCAGGAACAGCCTGGTTGACCAGGCAAATGCCAGATTAACCTGGCCTGTGGCTGGGCTCTGGGAGTAGACTCTCAGAACTCATCAAGGGTCTTTCTTCTTTCTTTCAACACACCGGCCGTATCCCACCGAGGCGGGGCGGCCCAAAAGGAAAAACAAAAGTTTCTCCTTTTACATTTAGTAATACATGTATATACAGGAGAAAGGGCTACTAGCCCCTTGCTCCTGGCATTTTAGTCGCCTCTTACAACACGCATGGCTTACGGAGGAAGAATTCTGTTCCACTTCCCCATGGAGGTAAGAGGAAATAAACAAGAACAAGAACTAGTAAGAAAATAGAAGAAAGCCCAGAGGAGTGTGTATATATATGCTTGTACATGTATGTGTTTACTGGTGTTCCTTGACTTACAATGGGGTTATGTTCCAATGAATCTGTTGTAAGTTGAAAGTATCATAAGTTAAATATGAATGATATGATAAATAAGTAAATAAATAACTGCTATCACTCAATAAGCAAATAAACCAGTAATTACTATAACCAAATACGAGGACTGAAAACTAAATGAACACAAGTTTATCCTATCAATAAATATACAATACTGTACAGTACTGAATGTGCATCACTATCACACCATTGTAAAGCTGAAATATCATAAGTCAAACCATTGTAAAGTGAGGAGCATCTGTATTATGAAAGTTTTGTATAACTCTCGTTAAAACATTTCAGGGTATGTCTCCGTATGGTGGAGGCGATAGAGGGAATGGCATGGAATCAAATGACACCAGCAGTAGTTTGGGCGGACTTGGAAGCAGCAATGGTTCTATACGAGGATTGAAGCGACCATCTCTTCCTGGCACCGACTACCATTCCCTCTTGGAATTAGAGAAACCCAGCCCCGTCCTCTATGACTACACCAAATTAAATGCGTGGTTAGTGTTTACATTGGCTCCATTACCTTCATGTGACTAATGGTCCAAGTCAGACCACAACATCTCCTATGTGTGGGTTATTTGTGTATTGGTCCAGTCATGGTATTGTGATGTTTTGTTCTTTATGGTTAATTTGTTTTGTTTGGTTCCTGTTTCCTGATGCTATTTATTAATTTACTAGGAAGCTTAACATTTGACAGGATTGTATGAGTGTGTTAGATCAGAGTGAGTGGAAACAAGTGGTTTTTGTGACTTGATGTGCTGTTGGAGTGAGAGCACAGTAACATGCATGGATTCAGGGGACACTGGTTAACTGGACTTTAGTCCTGGAGGTGGAAAGTACAGTTCTTGCACTTTCATGGAGGGACGCGAGGATGTTGTAGGTTAGAGGGTCATCCGAACTGTGATATCAGTACACATTTGGCAAGACAGCAACATACAAAATACTCACAGGTAAATTTATAGGTAGAAAGTTAGTTTAATATCTTCATTATGCACCCCATACCCATTCTGTGGGCAGTAGTCAGAAGATTACAGAGGCACATAATGGGTCTAGGGACTGAGCTGCAAAGTTTCAATAGCTAAATAAGTTAGTGTAGAGAGGAAAAACTGTTCTGAGAAGCGAGAAATGGGAATTCAAGGATATGGTGGAAGTTAGGGACAGATGAGGCGCAGAGATGTCAGGAAGTGTTTCTTAAGTCCCAGGGTGGACGGAGAGTTGAGTGATCTCGTTGAGGAAGTGGTGAAGGCAAGCACCATACATACTTTTCAAAGGAGGTATGATAGGGGGCCTATGAGGCTAGGATGGAGTGAATTTGGCAAGAGGCAAGTTGAGAGGCAGGGCCAGCAGCTGGGACTTGGTTCCTTCACCAGGTGCTAAATCAGCCAGGCTGTGATGGATATGTGGGTCAGCAGGCCACCAGCAACAACAGTCTAGTTGATCAGGCTACCACCAGATGAGCCTGGCCTATGGCCGGGCTCCAGGAGTAGAAAAATTCTCTCAACTCATCAAAGGTATATCCTACAACCACACATAAGTGAGTACTATTCTGTATTAGTTACTGATTATCCATTGGAATAGGATATGAGTTTAGTGGTAGGGCCAGGTGCTGTATCTCAACACCTGTATACACATCTAGGTGAATACTGTATAATTACTGTCACTAAACACATTTTTCATCATTGATTGTATCACAATAGATCATTGTACGCAGTCACAGTACGTACCATCAACATAACACCACTACCTTCCTTTGCAAAGTATTTCACAGTGCACCGTTGCTCCTCATGTGCATTTATACAATTTAAATTTGAGTGATGTTCTTAAGAATATGAAATGTATACATTTCACTGTTTTCTTATAATTATTTTCTTTGTGGCAGGCTTCATCATCCTGTAAAGAAGTTTAAACCGTCAGAGCCTAAAGTAGAAGAACCTCTTTGGCCGCCCTACAGACCAGCTCACATCCAGGAACACATGGACCCTTATAGACCAGAGATGGGTCAGGAGGTAAGTCATAAATCACATTCACTCTCTTAAGGGAGGCTTATGAGGCTCTTGAAATACATAGTTATAGTATATGCATGTCTCTGGAGTGAGTGATGATGAAAGTGTGTTTTCGTTTTTGGGTGACCCTGCCTTGGTGGGAAATAGCTGATGTGTTGAAAAAAGAAATGGCTAACTGTTTATTTTGTGTAGTGTACATTGGTATGGTCAGCCATTGAAGAACTTTAGGGAGAAATAGACACAAATGCAGTTGAATTGGATCCTTTATTGATTACATTTCACCCACACTGTGGGCTTTATCAAGTCACAAACAGATCTCCATCGAGAAACTTAAGAGCACTGAATTATTCTATGTTACGCTTGTATTGGTTCATTACCACCTTAAAGGTTAGATCCTCTTAGTGTTGTTGAGGTCCCAAGATTCTGCTGCGTGTAAACTTTCCTCTTCCACTTATCAGTTAGGTGGAAACATAAACACATATGCAGTTTAATGTGATCCTTTATTGACAACGTTTCAACCACACAGTGGGCTTTTTCAAGTCACAGATCTGTTTGTGACTTGAAAAAACCCACTGTGTGGGCAAAATGTTGTCAATAAAGTATCACAATAAACTGCATATGTGTTTGTTTCCATTGTGTCGGTATTTTATACCATTTATTTTTATCAGTTAGGTGTGAATAACTCTTCCTTGAAGGGAGGTTCCATAATGTGAGTGAGGGGAGTCTTGATACATGAAAGATAATTTGTCCTTCCCTTTCATGAATTGAACCTGACTGTTTCCCATTTACCCTAGTTGCTATATGACTTGCTTTATCTTCTTGGTAAATAATGCATAACTTCCATTTGGTTTAAGCGGGAAGTGAGGCCACTGAAAGACCTGGATAATTAATGTCTAACTACTTTAAGGCTCTTTGACAGCTGTTAAAATGCTTCTGCTATTCATATAGGTTCAAAATCTCACTCTAAATGTAACAATATGTGAAGAGCTCTATATCATTTACACATGTCTAAATTTTTTTTTTACATTTCATTATCACATACATCTATTTAGCCACTAAATTACTCTCCCTACTTTCTACCACCATTATTACTTCTACTACTATTACCACTACCATCCTTGCCACTACCACTACTTTTTCTTCCTCTCTTGGTCCTGTCCGTCTGCCTCACCTATACAGGCTCCCTCACTCTCGTGTTAGTGTGACTTTATAAATGGACCAAGATGTCGTTGTGAGCTTCTGTCTCCTGTGTGTGGGCTATTTGTGTATAAATCTCTAGTATTCTCTTCACTGTAGAAGTTTGGAAGAAAGAATAGAGACAGGCAGGATAACATTTTTCTCTGTTTCCTACTGTTATTTCTCTCAAGATGTAATTGACTTTAGGTTATTGTTACAGTCTAACTCTGTATATTGTAGATGTAAAGTCAATTAAAATATTTTAGGGGCTTGAATAGTGGTTTATTGAATGTCACTGCTAATTGGTATGATGACTGGATTAAGATGTGGACAGTAGTTTGCAGCAACGACCTATGACATAAATGGTTCAGAAAACTAACAACGCAGCATATGGGAACCTCTATTGTGGAAGCATTTTGCCAGCCGGTGGCTTCTTCCTCCTCATCTTCCTATGTATTTCTCTCTATTGGACTGAAGAGTGACAGGATGTTCCAGAGATGAGAGACACAAACAAGGGACCACAATTGGAAGTTGAAGACTCGGATGAATCAAAGAGATGTTAGGAAGTACTTTCCACAATAAAGATTCCCAAATGTTACACAGATGTCTCATTCTTTAGCAACAGCCTGGTTGACCAGGCATTTGACAAGGAAGTCTGACCTCAGGACATCTGGGGTAGGAGAATCCACTAAATTGGTTGTAGGTACATAAGGAGGGAGTGTGCTTTCTGAAATTGCTGGTAAATACATTTGTAAAACCTGATTTGAAAAGTGAATAACATTTTCCTGTAAGTATTACTGTTATCTCATACAAAGACTGTTAAAAAAGTTGTTTGAAATAGATTGTAATAGATTTTTAGGAATGTAAAATAGTCTTGTTGATGGTTGTCAGTTCGGAGGCATGGATCCCATACACTAGGTGGATTGTTCCAAGAGTGGGATAGATTTAGTTGAGTTTGGTCTATATTGTATTGATAGATACACAAACCCACACATTGGAGAAAGGAACTTTATGGCAGCGTTTTGGTCCAACTTGCACCATTAACTACTGGTTATTTGTGTATTATTCCAGTCATGGTATTGTGCCTTTGTGTTCTGTGTTGATAGATCTTGGAAAATATTTCAGCAATGTTAGCTGATAAGTCTATTGATCCAACAAGGTGTAGATTATTCTAAGAGTGGTATAGATTTAGTTGAGTTGGGTCTCAACTAAATCTATACCACTCTGAGAATATTCTAGCAATGATAGCTGATGAAAGGCTATTGAACCAACCAATATGAGCCACCTCTTCTTCAGAAAAGTTTAATTACCTCCTATTTTTCCGAGCACAGTATGACTCCTACAGTTTCCTCTGATAACAAAAACACTGCAAAACACTATGAAAACTCTATAGAATCACTACAGAAACACTGCAAAACACTTAACCAAAAAAATCTAAAAAAAAAAAAAAATTAGAGATCTGCCTAATTGCATTTTTATAATCATAAGCTATAATGGCTTTAATAATCACTTGTTTTAGCAGATTCCGGAAATGAATGGTTTACCAGCTAAATATCCCGGTGGTATCAAGAGAGAAGCCGACCCCTGTGACTCCGACGATGACCTTGGATCTGTTACTACTCAGGAGGTAATCAAACGGAAAGACGGCCTTGATAAAGACGAGGCCAAAACTCCGGGCAGTGTTCGGTCATCGCATGACCCACATTCTCCTTCTCAACCAAAGAAAACTGGAAATTTATACACAATAGAAGGACTCCAGCCTTCTTTATCAGATTTAGATGAAATCTTCGATTCAGATTCTCCTGTGGATGATGTAAGTTTTTATTTCAAAAAATATTTTGTTATACAGTAGGACCCTGATATCTGTGGATTCTGTTTTCAAAGTTTCAGTTATCCATGGTTTACCGTGGCCAGAAAACAACCCTTAATTTTGCTTCATAATGGCCCCCAAGCACAAAAGTAGTGAAGGTGGCAGTTCTTCAAAGCTTAAGAGAAGCTGTGAAGTGCTGACCATCGTTGAAAATGTGCTAATTCTCCACCTATTGTGCATAATTTTTCAATTAAACTTAATCATAGATGTGTATGTTAACGAAAAATGAATTATATATAGAATTCACTACTTTCCTCAGTATCAGTTATCCACGTAAGTCTTGGAAGGTATTCCTTGCAGATATGGAAGTTTACTACTGTATTTAGGTAGAATGTTGCAGTGAAAATCTTTGGGATTTTACTACAAGCAGGTAAACAAGTGGACTTAAAAAATTGGTTGTTATTCAAAAAAATGTCCAGACCATTTGAACTATAGACATGTCTTGAGAGTCCTTGTGAAAATAGTGGTAGAAAAAGACATTAGAGAAAATTTAATAAAACACTTGGGATGAAAAAGGTGGATTAGTAGCAAGCAGTTTAGTTTCAAATTAATAAATTCTTGTAAATCAAAATATTAAGTTATGTCAGTCATAAATTATGTTATGATTGTATTTATAGAGGCTTCATGAAAACTTTCAGTAGTTCCTCATGAAAGATTTTTCTGGAAACTGCAAAACAGAATGAATAAAAGGCAAACTGTTATGGTGGATGGGAGACTTAGTTTAGAGGAAAATTTGAAGAGCAATAAGAAGTGTAATGTCTATGTTGGGTAATGTCACTAGTAAGGTGCCACAAAGATTGATAGCTGCCACAATACTGTTTCTAATTATAAAAATTATTAGCCAGAAAAAATTAAAACTACATTCTTCTTTCTCCTTTCAACACACTAGCCGTATCCCGCCGAGGCGGGGCGGCCCAAAAGGAAAAACGAAAGTTTCTCCTTTTACATTTAGTAATATATACAGGAGAAGGGGTTACTAGCCCCTTGCTCCCGGCATTTTAGTCGCCTCTTACGACACGCACGACTTACGGAGGAAGAATTCTGTTCCACTTCCCCATGGAGATAAAACTACATAATATAAGCATATTTGTGGATGGTGCAAAGATCTCGTATAAATAAAAAAGCCTCTCCCTGAGGGTCCCCTCAAGGGAGAGGTATTTAGGGGCTCCTGACCCTAAGAACAGGACTCTCACCTACCTCTGTACCTGAGCCCTCCCTATTTCCCAGGTGATATGTGAATCCTACAGGTTTAGCACTCCCCTCAATTAAAACAGTAGGAAAGAAGACCTGGATAGATAGAGCAAATAGTGATGGAATATATTAGTGATCAGAAACAGGCCAGTAGGTAGTAGGTTGGTAGACAGCAACCACCCAGGGAGGTACTACCGTCCTGTGGTAGTAGGTTGGGAGACAAACAACCATCCAGGAGGACTAAACCAACCTGTGGGGAGTAGGTTGGTAACAGCATCCACCCAGGAGGTACTACCGTCCTGTGGTAGTAGGTTGGTAGACAGCAACCATCCAGGGAGGTACTACCGTCCTGTGGTAGTAGGTTGGTAGACAGCAACCACCCAGGGAGGTACTACCGTCCTGTGGTAGTAGGTTGGTAGACAGCAACCACCCAGGGAGGTACTACCGCCTGCCAAGTGAGTGTAAAACGAAAGCCCGTTGATTGTTTTACTGATGGTAGGATTGCTGTGTCTTTTGTCTGTCTCATAAATATGCAAGATTACAGGCATGTCTTGCTACTTCTACTTACACTTAGGTCACACTACACATACATGTACACATTTATTTATACACACTCATCTGAGTTTTCTTTGATTTTATCTTAATAGTTCTTGGTCTTATTACTTTTCCTTTTATATCCATGGGGAAGTGGAATAAGAATCTTTCCTCCGTAAGCCATGCGTGTTGTAAAAGTCAACTAAAATGCCGGGAACAATGGGCTAGTAACCCCTTTTCCTGTAAAGATTACTAAAAAGAATAAGAAGAAGAAAATTGTTTTCTTTCTTTTTTGGGTCACCCTGCCTCGGTGGGAGACGGCCGACTTGTTGAAAAAAAAAAAAAAAAACAGGCCACACTAAGCATATAGGTTGGGTGATAAAATACAAAAGACCTCATATATTCAGGAACCTAGTAGTCGTTATTAAAAAAAATATGGGAAAAACCACATCACATTAATGAAATTGTGAGAATGTTCTATATGATGAATGGTTCAGAGAACCGACATGTTGATAAATTAGACGCATGTGCAACTCTTGGGTATCTTTATTGAGGAAACGTTTTGCCACACAATGGCTTCATCAGTCCATACAAAGGAGAATCTTGAAGAACAGGAGGAGAATGAGGTAATCAGTCCCTCAACCTTGAGTCGATGTGGTCAGTCCATCAATCTTGAATAGAATACGGCATACTCAAGGTTGAGGGACTGATTACCTCATTCTCCTGTTCTTCAAGATTCTCCTTTGTGTGGACTGATGAAGCCACTGTGTGGCGAAACGTTTCCTCAATAAAGATACCCAAGAGTTGCACATGTGTCTAATTTATCAGAATGTTCTATGCAACACTGGCTACCTTTCCAGTAACTGTTGGCAACATATTAGACGAGAATTGGAATATGCAGTGAATATGGAGTTGTCTGTACCTGTACATGCTTATTTGTAATGGCAGGGAGGGTTCCACTCCTGGACATGGTGCTTGCCTGATTCACTTCCTCCTAGGCTTGTGAGCCCTATTGTTACTGCTCTTAAAACTATGTATAGAGCTTGCCTACACCACTTTGTCAAGATCATTCCATTTTCCTACCACTCTGAGACTGAAAAAGTACTTCCTGACATCCACAGTTTGGCTCATCTGCAACTTAACTTCCATCTGTGTCTTGAGTACCTGTTTCCTGCCTCTCAACAGCCTGTCTCTGTCTACCCTATCAATTCCACTTGAGTATCTTGTATGTTATCATGATGTCTCCGCTAGTTTTTCTGTCCTCCAATGCTGTTAGCTTCAGTCCCATAAGCCTCACCTCATAGCTGTTACCCCATTTCTCAGGAGCAAACCTCGTTGCATAATTCTGCACTTTCTCCAGTTTTTTGACATGCTTTCTCCAATGTGGGTTTCATACTAGTGTTGCATTCTCTAAACTGGGCCTGACATGTTGTATAAATGACCCAGGATAACTGTTGAGATTCCTAAAGGCTACTCAGAGATGTGTCAGACGATCATTGGCTGCTGAGGTTATTCAGTAGATGTGAGCCTCTGGTGATATACTGGGCACTGTGCTCACCATTAGGTCTTCTCTTCGAGTAAGGTGTGCAGCTCCCTGTCCTCAGTCTTTACTCCCATGTCCAGTCTTCCAGTCTTCTTGTCCTTGCCCCAACTTTCATAACTTTGCTTTAACTGGGGTTTAATTCAAGCAACCACTTACCTGACCAGTCTTGTAGTTTGTCCAGATACTTTTGGAAGCTTTCCTTGTCCTCTTCTGTTTTAATTCTCTTCAATAGTTTTAAATCATCAGCAATCAGGGATAAATCTGATTCAGTCCTATCTGGTATGTGCCTCATTTTTGTTTATATTTTAGTGTTCCATACTGTATATAAATGTAATCCTCAAAATAAGTTGTCATCTGTTTCATTTTTATTAGAAATTCAAAGACGCCTGGAATTAATTTAAACGGGTAAACCTTTTATTTCACAACATTTTACTTAGTAAAATGTCTTAGTTTCTTTGTACACTACTTGTCAACTTCTGCCAGTGTCTACCTGTAATAAATGCTAGTATTTTTCAGTGTTAATTGCCCTGCATTTGTCTTCACTTTCAATATTTTTTTTTAGACAGTTTTCCCAAAAAGTATATTTGAAAAATTGTTTGCAGTCTTAACACAATAGCATTTCTTATTTCTGCTTTCTTACAAGGAGTATTTTGATCCACTTACTAAATTTTAATCATTACATCATATATAACAATGATAGGTGTGTAGCTTTTAGCCAATCACTTGCTTGATCTGCCTTTTTTTTTTTATGTATACAGATCTTGTCTGTTACACAATTTGGAGAGGACACTTGAGGCAATGTTTTGGTCCATCCTGGACCATTAGTAAGCTGTGAGTGACTTGGTAGTGAAACAGAACAGACCAAAAATTTTTTAAAATTTCCTTTCTAAATCATTGGCTAGTACTAATTGTTTTAGCCACGGTATTGTATGCAAATGCTCTACATTATTGACAAACTTCACCTCACTCTTTGTTGCCTTGTTCTTCTTGTTAAACTTCCATTAATTTTTTATATCAATTTGTATATCTAACTTTAGAAGTTGGAATAATTTGATGTGGAATACTATTCTTAGTGTTTTCAATCAGCATATGTTTTTCAGGCCACATTCCCAGACCACACACCTCCAGGATCTAATAAACCATCGGGAGGACCTGAAGACACTGCTGCAGTCATTAATAATAAAAATAGTGGAGGCGGAAATAACAAAACCAGTGTGAATGCAAGTCTAGTGGAGTTAACCAAAATGTTTCCAACACCCCCATCCCATGAACACAATCCTGACCATGACACTGCTTTAGATGATACAGTATCTCAGGTCATCAGTATTAAGCAGGAGCGTATTGAAGAACCTAGGATCATAAATACACTAGAACCCTGTGCTATTCCCATAAAAGAAGAACCAGCACAGATGCTAGCTGTCTACCGACCGCCCTCTCTGTCTATGTTTGTTGGGTCAATAAAGTATGCTCCTCTTCTAAACCTTCCCAGTCAGGAACATAAAACAATCGTCACTATTCCAGAGGAATGGGTATACAAACCTTCTTGGCAATTTCCAGTTTCTGATAAGTCACATGGATCAGCTCCTCCCATGGTCCATATGGGGCCCCTGCATGGGGGCCCACCAACTGGTAGTCATGGTCAAAAGGTGGGATTGTCTCCCATATCACCCATGACCTCTAGTATTGGAGGCCCTGCATCAGACGGTGGTCCTGGGTCTCAACGTGGGCCTGGTAGTGTTGGGCCTGCATCAGCAGGTCCACCAATGAACTACGAGCTACCATCACCAGCGTCCAATCAGTCATCTTACCTCAACAAGACACTGCCGTCGGTAGAGCCTCCTACTATGGGGCTTAACCAAGTACCTGAAGCCAATTCCCTCATTGTTAATGTTGCACTGCAAGACTCTAGTGTGAACCTATTTAGAGATCACAATTTTGACTCTTGCACAATGTGTGTGTGTAACAATAGCCAGAAAAATGTAGGTAATATTCGTGGTAATGATGGAACTCTTTATTTGCCCCCTACACATCTAAGTGTGGAAGAAGAAAGTATTAAGTGCAACTGTGGTTTTTCTGCGATAGTTAATAGAAGGTTAGCCTTTCAGGCTGGTTTGTTTTACGAGGATGAAGTGGACCTTACTGGCCTCCATGAGGCTCTAGCAACTGAACGCAAAAAACAGTCCTTGCTTTTGCTAATGGATAATAAGGGTGTAGATAATGCTGACCGTGAAACCAGTATTTTAGATCAGATACCTCAATCTATGTTTCGTCTTTTGCAAAGCCAGTGCTTAGTAACGTTAAGTGCGCCATCTAGTGTTATATATAGATCAACGACTGTGTACCAAAATACTAGACGAGACATTTTGTTAAATTTAGTGGATTATAAGGATGGAAATGAAATTGCATGTATGGCAGTTGAACAGTCTAGAGGAGCAAATCTTAGTGATAGTGAAAGTGGCTCCCCAGGAATCAGACTTCAGTGCATGCACAAATGGTGCTATTACCAATTCGATGGTCCCAGATGTTCTAAAGATATTGTGAGGTGTATGAAGGCCCTTCAGCCACACTTACAAGAAGCTATACAAAAGAAAGGGCGGAGAGTCAATTGGGAGCCAGTGTTTAGTGTTGATGGTCCTCTGACGTGGAGACAGTTCCATCGTATGGCTGTGAGAGGCACAGAGGATATGGCAGAACCATTACCAATACCTATGCTATTAACTGGTCATGATAGAGACTGGTTATCTATAGCACCACAGTCACTAAGACACTGGGAAAAGCTACTTCTGGAGCCATACTCACAACAGCGCAATGTTGCCTATGTTGTGGTTGCTCCAGACAACGAGTTTATTCTTAATCATGTACGCACCTTCTTCAAAGAATTATCTTCTATATATGAGGTTAGTAGTGGTCTTAGTATTTAGTATTCTGTAATTTTCTTGCATCGAGATGTGGTTATGATCATTTATGCAATTTATTACAATTTGTTTTGTATGTTATTGTTACCAGTAATCAGATGTTAAAAAGTAATTTGACTGGCCTGTGACATCAGATATTGATGCTGTATTTGAAATGTTCTGTATGTGTGTGACAGCTCCCTTTTTTACCTAGAATGTTCTCTGGTAAAACTCTGGAGGGATTTTTAAATCCACTTGACAGACGATGCTTTTAGGATTTTTGAAGGCTGTTTTACTCAAGTGTTTGGCAAATTCTTTGAACAATTTTTTTTTTTAAATTTAATTTGCAAAAATTAACATAGGGTAGTCAAATTTTTAAGTAAACTATATAAAGTATAGTCTACTTCCTAGGTAATACTTTTTAAGCTATTGAAAGAATCAGTTGAACATTGCAGACAAAGTAAATCCATTATTATTCAAGTGTCTTCCTTATGACTTGAATGTGTGGGGGAAGGGGTGATTGTGAATGTGTGGGGGAAGGGGTGATTGTGTGTTTGGTTGATTGGTTCAAAACAGTTCCTGGTGTTTGGTAGGCAGAAATTAACCTGGCACACCTTGCAGAACCATCTAGACGAGGGGTACTTCTGTATGTTTACGTACCCCCAATGGATTACCCAATATGCCCCCATACCCCATTCACCAGACTGTTAAAATCATCACCATTATCACCAGTCCTAATATTAGGTGCCAGTATAACTTCAATGTCAGTAGCTTGGTTTTACTTTACATATGAATAGCTAGCAATGGCACAGCTGAAAGAAAATCATAAGGATTTTATTATTTTTATTTATAGAAAAAACAAATTGTATGGGCTAGTATGGGGCAACGGGCCTGCTGCAGTTATCCTCCTTTCTTATGTTCTTATGTTCAGAGATTGAGTCCCAAGGGTTATGGATACCTCAGTTAAGAACCCCTGATCTACAGCAATGCATATTATCACCTGTGGTGCAAAATGTGCATGTTTTTCCTATGTGATTTTGGAGATTGATACACTGACATGTTGTACAGGTGCTCCTTGCTTTACGGTGGTTCGACTTGGCATGTTTCAACTTTACGATGGTGTTACAAAACTGTCAAACTTTTTTTTTGTACTGTACAGTACTGTACATTTATTGATAGCATAAACTTGTATTCATTTACTTTCAATACTGGTATTTAGTTATAGTAATTATTTGTTTATTTACTTATTCAGTGACAGTAATTTATTAACTTATTTATCATATATATATATATATATATATATATATATATATATATATATATATATCTATATATATTTTTTTTTATTTATTTTTTATTTATTCTTTTTGGGTCACCCTGCCTCGGTGGGAGACGGCCGACTTGTTGAAAAAAAATATATATATATTCTTATTTGACTTGCTGTATTTTCATTTTATGATAAGTTCATCTGAACATAACCTCATTGTAAGTCGAGGAACACCTGTGCATCAAGGATGCCCAGGTGCATGATAGTTTTTTTTTATGGAAGCACAGACAGCCTCGTCTGAAAAAAGTCTGGACGGCATAGTTGTCTTCTGTAACCTTGCAAATGATGAAGATTCTTCCTGAACTCTATTCAGTGATATGTGCTCCAGTTCCCCGAATTAAGCCTGAATGCCTTCCACATCCCCCCCCCCCCAGGCGCTGTATAATCCTCCGGGTTTAGCGCTTCCCCCTTGATTATAATAATAATAATATTCAGTGATATGGTCTCATTATTTAGGGATTTTCAATTTTTTTTCCCATGTACAAGAGTTACAAGGTGCAGACAGTGATGTCAAGCACATACCCAAAAAGTTGCATATAAACATCAAAATGGTATACAATACCGACAGGTTGTTAGGTAAGACACATATGCAACAGTTAGACAACTTTATTCGGTTAGACAACTCTCGGAATAAAGTTGTCTAACTGTTGCATATGTGTCTTACCTAACAAGTTGCATATACCATCTTCTGGCTCTCATTAGGATCAGTTTAAAAATAGTTGAGCATGTCTTCTTTCTTTCAATAAACCAACCGTATCCCACTGAAGCATGTCATTTTTATCAATTCTACCCATGTTAGTGTTGTAAGCTTTGATGATATTGGGGCAGGAGACCTCAACTTTCTTCTTGAGTGTTGTCTAGACTAAGGACGTTGGTGAATGTTTTAATGCCAGCATCAGAAGATAAAATGGTGTCTCCCTTTTCTGCCATTCCACTGACAGGTCAGGACTCCATCAGAATAGCAGCTTAGTGTTCCTCTCTTCTCCTTTGCTTTATTTATCTCTTTAGTCCTTTAGGAGTGGATTTCCACTTTGTTTTTCCTGAATAGCTGACTTGTCTGTGAGTCTTAGGACTCATTTGCCATGGGTTCAAGCCCCATCTGTTCCATGATTTGAGTGGTCTGGTTTTGGCAGGGTTTTAGTCAGAGCAGTAACATTTTTAGAAGTGACATTGGTCTTCTCCTCAACTGAAAAGTTGGCTCTTTATGCAGTAAAGTTGAGGGGCCTTCCCTGGTACATGATTTTCTCATGGATGAAATTTTTTTATTTTTTTATTATCACACTGGCCGATTCTCACCAAGGCAGGGTGGCCCAAAAAAGAAAAACTTTCACCATCATTCACTCCATCACTGTCTTGCCAGAAGGGTGCTTTACACTACAGTTTTTAAACTGCAACATTAACACCCCTCCTTCAGAGTGCAGGCACTGTACTTCCCATCTCCAGGACTCAAGTCCGGCCTGCCGGTTTCCCTGAACCCCTTCATAAATGTTACTTTGCTCACACTCCAACAGCACGTCAAGTATTAAAAACCATTTGTCTCCATTCACTCCTATCAAACACGCTCACGCATGCCTGCTGGAAGTCCAAGCCCCTCGCACACAAAACCTCCTTTACCCCCTCCCTCCAACCTTTCCTAGGCCGACCCCTACCCCGCCTTCCTTCCACTACAGACTGATACACTCTTGAAGTTATTCTGTTTCGCTCCATTCTCTCCACATGTCCGAACCACCTCAACAACCCTTCCTCAGCCCTCTGGACAACAGTTTTGGTAATCCCGCACCTCCTCCTAACTTCCAAACTACGAATTCTCTGCATTATATTCACACCACACATTGCTCTCAGACATGACATCTCCACTGCCTCCAGCCTTCTCCTCGCTGCAACATTCACCACCCATGCTTCACACCCATATAAGAGCGTTGGTAAAACTATACTCTCATACATTCCCCTTTTTGCCTCCAAGGACAAAGTTCTTTGTCTCCACAGACTCCTAAGTGCACCACTCACCCTTTTCCCCTCATCAATTCTATGATTCACCTCATCTTTCATAGACCCATCCGCTGACACGTCCACTCCCAAATATCTGAATACATTCACCTCCTCCATACTCTCTCCCTCTAATCTGATATCCAATCTTTCATCACCTAATCTTTGTTATCCTCATAACCTTACTCTTTCCTGTATTCACTTTCAATTTTCTTCTTTTGCACACCCTACCAAATTCATCCACCAATCTCTGCAACTTCTCTTCAGAATCTCCCAAGAGCACAGTGTCATCAGCAAAGAGCAACTGTGACAACTCCCACTTTGTGTGATTCTTTATCTTTTAACTCCACGCCTCTTGCCAAGACCCTCGCATTTACTTCTCTTACAACCCCATCTATAAATATATTAAACAACCACGGTGACATCACACATCCTTGTCTAAGGCCTACTTTTACTTGGAAATAATTTCCCTCTTTCCTACATACTCTAACTTGAGCCTCACTATCCTCGTAAAAACTCTTCACTGCTTTCAGTAACCTACCTCCTACACCATACACCTGCAACATCTGCCACATTGCCTCCCTATCCACCCTGTCATACACCTTTTCCAAATCCATAAATGCCACAAAGACCTCTTTAGCCTTATCTAAATACTGTTCACTTATATGTTTCACTGTAAACACCTGGTCCACACACCCCCTACCTTTCCTAAAGCCTCCTTGTTCATCTGCTATCCTATTCTCTGTCTTACTCTTAATTCTTTCAATAATAACTCTACCATACACTTTGCCAGGTATACTCGACAGACTTATCCCCCTATAATTTTTGCACTCTCTTTTATCCCCTAAGTTGTAAGAGTTTTTCTACTGGAGCCCGGCCATGGGCCAGGCTCATCTGATGTTAACCTGGTCAACCAGGCTGTTGCTGCTGGTGGCCTGCTGACCCACATATCCATCACAGCCTGGCTTAGTAAAATGTGAATGTAACAGTGGCGTACGAAGCTTTCCCGAACTTTTTAATTATGTTGTATTCTGAGCACCTCTGCAAAAACAGTGATTATGTGTGAGTGAAGTAAAAGTGTTGAATGATGATGAAAATATTTTCTTTTTGGGTCACCGTGCCTCGGTGGGAGACGGCCGACTTGTTAAAAAAAAAAAATACAGGTCTGATTTTCAGGAACCTATTCACAGCACTCTTCAATTGAATGTTGTCAGTGAAATGTAGGAGATCTTGTATGAGCTTGAAAACCTTGCCAGGCATCATGTCTGCAACTTGAAGAACACTGCTAATAATAACCCAAAAGTTGTCTATTGCTGGAAGGTGATTAATTTGCTTGTAAACAAGGATATTGTTGAAGATGAACAGGCCAGAAGAGTTAGTGAGGAAGGAAGACTGTTTCCACATTAATGTACATATAGATTTGTCTCGTAGATAATGTGCTCTGACAATTCTACAGTGAGTACAGTGGACCCCCGGTTAACGAACTTTTTTCATTCCAGTAGTATGTTCAGGTGCCAGCACTGACCGAATTTTTTCCATAAGGAATATTGTGAAGTAGATTAGTCCATTTCAGACCCCCAAACATACACGTACAAACGCACTTACATAAATACACTTACATAATTGGTCGCATTTGGAGGTGATCGTTAAGCGGGGGTCCACTGTACTTGCAAAAAGTACTCCAGATTATCATTATGTGAGTTAGTGCTATGTTGATATTCTTCAAGTGATGCTAAATCTATATTTTGATCTTCTGACCATTGTCTCCTTGACGGCTGTGGTGATTTTCCTCTGTGTCTTCACATGTTGAGATGTTATTGGTGTACGGTTAACTGAAATATACAAACTAAAGGAAATACATTACAATATGACAGTAACATGAAAAAAAACTTGAAAAGGGGTAAAAACTGTATAACAAAACATCAAGATTTAAAACAATTTAAATGTTTAATGCCTGCCATTGAACAAGTTAAAAGTCAGTACATAAATAATTTAAAATTTGAATGCCTGACATTTAATTATTTTAAATCCAAAACATAAGTGTAGCATTGAAATTTCAACCATTTAACAATTTAAAACTAAAACATAAATGAATTTATATAATATTTAAAGTTTTTAGATGCCTAGATTGAACAATTTGAAACCTTAAACACTTACAAATGCCATATCCAGATACTTTTTTTTCTGCTGGTGGTTATTCAGTATGTATGTCCATCTTGGTGCCAGGTCCTAGGTGTACTCTTGTTGTATAACATCGACATGGCTGTCCACATCATCCTTGTCAAATGTCAGTAGTGTTGCTATGTACTTGTGTAGTATACTTAGATAAACTCAGTTACTTTATAGACAGGCTCCCAGGCTAGCTATGACGTCACAAGTCTCTCGCACGTGTGACGCCAGCCACAGGTAGGCATAGACAAGACAGGCAGGCCTGGACTTCTCCACCTCATAATCACTTATTGTCTTGATTCAGTGCGACCCACCTGGCACTCTCCTTGCATGTAAAAGCTTATAATTTAGGCACATAATATCAGCATGTAATTATTGCCTTCATTATCACCATGTATTCTTTCACTATCACCCAGATTATTCACCTTATTTTTTTAATACACTGGCCATCTCCCACCGTGGTAGGGTGACCCAAAAAACGGAAGCACATTCACTGTCACTTAGTCACTGTCTAGCCAGAAGTGTGCTAACATCATCGATCATTTGGTCCTCTAAACTTCATTATCCCATCCACCTCCTTCAAAGAGCAGTCACTATACTTCCCACCTCCAGGACTCAAGCCCAGCTTACCAGTGTTCCTGGATTTCTTCATAAGCGTTACCTTGCTCACACATACGCAGCACATTGTCATAAAAACTACTCAACTCGACTGTATTCTGTTTCTATGATCATGATTCTTCCACAGCAGGAATTGCCAAAAAAGGCTCTTGTTCAGAGGAATTGGAGCTTTTCCTCAAATTAATCCTGATTATCTCTGTTCCCCAGGTGGTGTTTAACTCCTACGTGTTTAGTGCATTCATACCAACATCAGCATAACATTTTGAAGTATCCTGAGATAGCTCAGAGTTACCTTCTTCACTTAGGGGTATTTTGGGAAAAAAAATTCACTGTGATGCTGTTCAGTTTGTGAATTTTATTTTAATGTAAATAAATCCTACCATTTTTTTTTTTCTTTTTATTAACACATCAGCCAGCTCCCACCAAGGCAGGGTGGCCAAAAAAGAAAAACTTTCACCATCATTCACTCCATCACTGTCTTGCCTGAGGTGCACTTACACTACAGTTATAAAACTGCAACATTAATACCCCTCCTTCAGAGTGCAGACACTGTACTTCCCATCTCCAGGACTCAAGTCCGGCCTGCTGGTTTCCCTGAATCCCTTCATAAATATTAACCTGCTCGTACTCCAACAGCATGTCAAGTTCTAAACAGAACTGGTCTCCATTTACTCCTATCTAACATGCTCACGCATGCTTATTGGAAGTCCAAGCCCCTCGCACACAAAACCTCTTTTTACCCCCTCCCTCCAACCTTTCCTAGGCCAATCTCTACCCTGCCTTCCCTCCACTAGAGATTTATACTCTCGAAGTCATTCTATTTCGTTTCATCCTCTCTACATGTCCAAACCACCTCAACCTCTCCTCAGCTGTTTTGATAATAGTTTTGGCAATCCCACACCACCACCTAATTTCCAAACTACTAATTCTCTGCATTGTATTCATACCACACATTGCCCTCAGACAAGACATCTCCACTGCCTCCATCCTTCTCCTTGTTTCAGCATTCACCACCCATGCTTTGCACCCATATAAGAGCGTTGGTATAACTATACTCTCATACATTACCCTCTTTGCTTCCATGGACAAAGTTCTTTGTCTCCACAGACTTCTAAGTGCACCGCTCACCCCTTTCCTCTCATCAGTTCTATGGTTCACCTCATCCTTCATAGACCCATCTGCCGACATGTCCACTCCTGAGTATCTGAACACATTCACCTCCTCCATACTCTTTCCCTCCAATTTGATATCCAATCTTTCATTACCTAATTATTTTGCTAGCCTCATCACCTTATTCTTTCCTATATTCACTTTTAATTTTCTTCTTTTACATACTCTACCAAACTCATCCACCAACTTCTGTAACTTCTCTTCAGAATTTCCCAAAAGCACAGTGTCATCAGCAAAGAGCAACTGTGACAACTCCCACTTTGTGTTAGATTATTTATCTTCTAACCCCACACCTCTTGCCAGCAGCCGAGCATTCACTTCTCTTACAACCCCATCTATAAATATGTACGTATATTGAACAACCATTGTGACATCACACATCCTTGTCTAAAGCCTACTTTTACTGGGAAAAAATCTCTATCCTACATACTCTAACCTGAGCCTCATTATCCTCAATTCCTACCATATTTAGTTAATTGTTGACTTAGGCCTTCCTTGATTACCTAGTATAAGCAATGGAGGAGTATTGTGTCTCATTGTTGTGCCTTGATGGTGTGAAGAAACTGGAGTATCTCCACTTCCTGGGATAAAACCTTATTACTTCTCATTTCCCTGGCATTCTGTGACCCCTGCTGTGAGCACTTCCCCATGTATATAATTCTGTATTATAATTTACATGAAAAATTAGACTTAGTTTAGCAGACTAATGAAGGGTAAAAGAGTGTGGTTGGTACTGGTGATTGTGGTGGATGCAGGTGAGATTTTTTTCTGTAGTTGTAACAAATAACAAACAATTCTGGGTTAAATCACTTAACTCTGGATTTTGTTACTCATTTCCCAAGTCCAATAAATCATAGTCTGTTAATTTAAGGGTTTACTGTTAAACATTAGACTTATTCTCTACTCTTGTGTTTACAGTTATGCAGATTAGGTCGTCATTCACCCATCCAGCGAGTTTTGAGAAATGGCATTATGCGGATAAGTAAAACTGCAGCGTCTAAAGTTGCAAACGAACCTTTGGAGGAATGGTTTTCCCTCCTGGGTGATTCTCACATGTCTACTAAGCTCAAAGTTTATGCTCAGGTGAGAGTTATTTATGCACAAATAACCTGCACATAGAGAAGCTCATGATGATATTTTGGTCCAACTTGGACCATTTACAAGTCACACAAGCTTCTCTCTCCTATGTGCGGCTTATTTGTGTATTGCTCCAGTCACGGTATTGTGCCTTTTCTTTTTTAAAGACTTGTTTATATTAACACCTTCAAGGTGGGGAGGGGTACCTTGATGCTAATGAAGGACTCAAACTGAAAAGTTTCAGCATCTGATTATAGATCAGTGGAATTTGACTGCAATCATGAAAATAAATAATTAAATTGATCAATAATTAGTTATTACAGAAGCTAAGGAGTACAGTATATCAAGTTAACCCGTAAACGGTCCAAACGTATCTGGAGAGTTTTATTGGAGAGAGTTCGAGAGTCAACGCCAGCGGCCAAAAAAGTGACAGGCTCCTTTGGTAGTGTTTCAGGATTGACCCACACAGTCGACTAAAACCAGTTACCCTTTTTATGATGGTGAACATAGAAAAGGTGAAAGAAACACGTCATGTATCTACTCTGTGGGAATCGACAGCCCTCACCGTGTGAAGTCAGATCGTTAACACCAGGCACCTTTGAAAGGTATGTAAAAAAGTAAGTAATTTTTGTTTCTTACATGCCCCTTGAAAATGTTAAAAAAAATTTGATCTACTTTTTTTTTTTGTTATTTGAATATCAAAAACGTTAGATACTTTGAGGCTAACGTTGAACGATTCTCTTTGACCGTATTAGGGTTAAAAAAGTAATGTAATTGTTGTCATGAGATTGTTTCACTTGAGAGTTTTTCAATCACTCAGACTTAGGAGTGTTTAACCGGTTTGAATACAGTCTTGGAGCAATATTTCTTTTAGTATAATATCAAAAAAGATATGTATTGGTATTTTTTTACATAGTGCCTTTGCCTGTTGGTTAATTTTACCTTTTAATATAATACATGGTGGCATTAGTTGGTAGGTAATATACAATTTAATAACAGTGGTAGTGTCAATTTTAAGATATTCAGTGACCTTGTAAACTGGATTAGAAATAATTTCTTTTTATATATTTATGATTCTGTAGGATCGGCATGCCTCTGGCAAGATAATGATGGAGTGAGAGATGATGGAAGTGTGTCTTCCTTTTTGGGTCACTCTGCCTCAATGGGAAATGGCTAATGTATTAAAAACAAAATATTTGTGACCCTGGTTGACTCTCACAAAGTCTGAGCTTACATTGGTAATAAATCTGTAGATTGCTCAGTTACCTCTCATTTTGTAGGTGTGTCGACACTGGTTAGCACCGCACCTATCAACACTGAACATGGATAAGAGTCTCTTCGAGGTGCCTGGATCAAGCAAAGCTAGTGAAAGACAAGCACCTTCTCCTATGCCTCCACCATCTTCAGAAACTGTTTGCAATACAAACACTTCTACAACACCCACAGCAAATTCTGAACCTGAAGCCACTTATTCTTCAAATCCAACCGTCTCCAATTCGGTATGATTTTATTACTGTAATGATTATTATTATTAGTGGTGGTGGTAGTAATAGTAGGATTAGTAATTTTCGTAGTTGTAGTAGTAGCTATATGTATATGTACAGTGGTCCCTTGAATTACAGTGGGTTGAAGTTATGATCATTTGGAGTTACATTTTCCCCTCATAGAGGAATTTTGTTTTGAGTTGCTATAAAATATTGGAGAAACGATATACTTACGATGATCAGGCTGTTGTGGGTCACATCCTGTTGATCAAGGTTGACCTAAGTTGCTTGAAATGCTGTGTATAACCAGGGGCTTTATATATATATATACAGTAATATGCCAATGGTGGCAGCGAGGTCTGTAATAGCTCTATCATGTGCTTGTTTTGGGACTCGCTTGCCATGAGTTCAAACCCCACTTGTACTGTGGTTTGTTTGTAATTGATTTTGCAAGTAGTGGAAATCTCACATTGGATACGTTGAAAACACTAAAAAGTTAAAAATGCTCGTCATTCATTGATATTATCTCACTAGACTTTTCTCATAGATTTTGTTTTGGAATTTTTAAGATGTTTAAATTTGTTTGTTACAATTAAAATATTTTAGTTCTAGGAAGGTTTGTTTTTCTCCCCCTCTAGTCTTCAGGAGTGTCTTGTTTCCGGGAATGGCTACCCCTTCCAAACTAAAACCCTGATTATTTCCACCCCCAGGCACAGTCATCCTAATTACAAATACACTGGGGACCCCCTAAAAGTTTTTAAACTTACAACCCTTTTGGGGCCTCTGTATTGTGTATATTAATGGTAATTTGTTTTATCACTACAGAAGATTTTTAAAAACATTTTTGTAAGTAAAGGGATTTGGACTGTAAACCCCTCCCATTTTTTAGCCTCTTCTCCATAACACAAAAATTTTTCACTTTACAGCAAGGAACTGTCTATTTGGAACTGGTGCTAGTCTGAAGAATTGATGAGGATGACCTTCCCCCCTGCTTTTTTTTCCTTGTCTACCTATTTTGACCCTTAAATGTGGGCCCCAGGTCCCCCAGATATAACCGTTTTTTTTACCTACCCACTCAGATGTTACGAACACTTTTTGGAAGGGCCCTTTCCCGAAGTATGCGAATAATGTTTATCTCCAGGTATGCTATAATTAATGTTATATACTATTTCTTACACAGATAACCCATACATGAGAGAAAGAAACTTGTGCCCTCCTCTCGAGTATATATTGGCTCCCTTACCTTTTTGTGTTAGTGTTACTAGTTAATAATCCATGTCAGAATAAAACGTCAAAGTTTTTCTCCTATGTGCAGGTTATTTGTGTATTCAAGTTATAGTATTGTGCCTTTTTATTCTTTATTTTGTAATATAGTTTATTGTTAGTTAAAGTAAATTTTTATTTAGTTGATTTTTTTTCTTAACATGTTGGCCGTCTCCCACTGAGGCAGGGCGACTCAAAAAAGAAAGGAAACACTTTCAGCATCATCAACACATAATTATTGTCTTTGCAGAGGTGCTCAGATATGACAATTTAGATGTCATGTCAAACTGCCAATATCCCAAACTTTTGGGCCCAGTCCCTAGCCTTATTTATATGCCTCTGTAATCTTTTGACTACCACTCTCAGGATAGGTAAGGGGTGCATATTAAAGATACTAAACTGACATTACCACTCAAATGTTTGGAGTACAATGTCCTGCTAATCCTTCACGGTTCAGGCACTACATCCCATTCCTGAATGCCAATGTCCTCACTCATTTAACCTTAAACTGTACAAACGTAGATATAAATTCACGTGTGTAGCACTCCAAATGTAGATCTACGTTTTTTTTTTTTTTAAATGCTTTCAATTGGAGATAATTAAGGTTGGAGTGTTACGCACTTGAACGTAGATCTACGCTTGAACAGTTTAAGGGTTAACAGAGTTCAGGTACTGTACATTCCACTTCCAGAATGTAAGTCTGGCTAAATGGCTTCCCTGTGTGTATATCGGTAAAAGTAAAAAAATGAAAGGTTTAATAAAAGTAAAAACAAATATAAAGGTTAAAAAAAGCTTATTAAAACGTGTATGTAATCTGGAGCCACAATAGTCCTTGCTAAAATAAATTAAAGGGCGAGTACTACTTTGTTTAGGTCGCTTCCCTTTGTACATATTTTATATTTTGTTTGTATTGAATTTAACCCTTTAACTCTTTATGCTCCTTTTCAGATCATCTCATTGGAAAGCATCCTAGAGCTGGCCAGTGATTCCCACGATCGATCTCGATACATCGACCAACTTAAGTCATTAGCATTTTCAGTGTTTATGCAGTGCAGAAGAACTCTCTCCCACAATGCTGTAGTAAAGTCGCTTACCGGCTTCGGACCAGCGTCTGTTTATGACGGGTTTCTGAAACCCAAAGAAGCTAGTGTAAGTAATTCATTTGATACCTATTCTGCCTTCTTCCTCTCACTGTGAATTTTCTGTTATGTGCTTTACCATTTTGCAGGTAGTTCCAATACACTCAGTGTATATGATAAATGTGTTTTGCAAAATGTGCTGAATATTGCATTTATGCTGAATTAAGCAATGATGAACAAAAATTCAGTCCACAAAAAATCCACTCATAGGAGAAAGAAACTTATGGCAGAGTTTTTGACCGACTTGAGTGTGACTAGTTCATGGTCCAAGTTGAACTGAAATGTCGTCATAAGTTTCTTTCTTGTATGTGTGGATTATTTGTGTAGGCATTGATGGTTTGAGTGAGCTTAGTATAGTTGCCATGGTCCCTGGAGCTCATCTGTCAAGTGAGGGTCATCTGTGTTTCACTGTTTTTATCTTCACAGATTAGTCTTTAATGAGGAACTCTCTCAAAAACTGTTTTGAAGTGTTAAATGTAATCTGCCCATCAATTTCCTTCTAGAATAATTTCTGTGACTCGCATAGTAGCTTTTCAGTTTGATATTCACTACAGGAATTTAATGATCAACAATTGAACACAATCATTTTTAAAGTGATGGACTGTTTAGCCAGTGGAAGGCTTTGGTCAGATGACCAAAAGCTCCAGCTGAGGGGTTATCATATAAGACCTGTGTCAGGTAACACTTGTCCTGTTTCCAGACAAACCTTACCTAATCCAACCTAACAATTGAATAATTATTTACCAATGGGCTATTCACTTTTTTTTTTTTTTTTTTGACCTTGGCAGGGGTGATTGCTTGACTAAGAAACCAGTAAACCATTGTTTCACACTAAATGGAGAGGTTGTTAAAATTATGAAATTCTGTTGGCATAATTCTATCCATATTTTTGAACAAATTATGGATATGGCTTGAGCTGGGTCTAATGGACTGAGAATTGTGTTTATGTTGTGACTACAATGTATGTGTAAGGACGGTAACTTAGTCATGGTTTTGCTTATGTCAAATTAAGATAAAATTAAGTTAGCAGAAAAATTGACTCTAATAGCAGCTAATTAATGATTATAAATAACAAAAAAAGGCACAATACCGTGAGTGGAACGATACACAAATAACCCGCACATAGAAGAGAGGAGCTTACGACGACGTTTTGGTCCGACTTGGACCATTGACAAAGTCACACTAATAATTATATTAGCAAATTTCACTCTCTCTCTCTCTCTCTCTCTTACTCGCTGATGCCATTTTTCTTGACTTGCAAAACAGTGATAATGTGAATGATAGTAGTATTTTTTTTTGGGGGGGGGGGGAGAGTGGGGCCACCCTACCTCGATGGGAGAAGGCCAGCATGTAAAAAAAAAAAAAAAAAAAAAAAAAAAAAAAAAAAAAGCAAATTCAGTATTAATTTTTTCTAAGACACCTACCATCTCCCACCAAGGTAGGATGACCCAAAATAGTAGAAACACTTTCACAGTATGTCCACTAATACATCACTCATAATAGAGGTGTGCCAGATTATCAGTATCAGTGGGTATTGGTTAATTTTGATGGTGTGGGTATTGGCCTAAAACTTGAGTATCTGTACTGGGAAAAATTATGATATCATCCCATCTTTAGCTCATACTGAGTAGGCATTTGTAATGCTGCTTGCCTTGATTCTCACCAATTGCTGAAATATTTGAGAAACTTAAGTCTGATACATTTTAAAAAAAATTGTTGAAGCTTGCTGAAATGTTCAGTTTGAAGCAGTAATATTACTATACATGTTAACAAGTTTCAGGATACCTGGATTAGTGTATTGGAATGCACACTCTAAGTGATTGTCTTAGTGAAAACTTAGCTTAATTCTTAGACTGTCATCTTGTATAGAGATTAGGGAATATACACCTACCATCCGACTTACGACCGAGTTCGGTTCCGAGAAACCGGTCTTAAGTTGAAATGGTCGTAAGTCGAACTTTACTACTGAATATCAACATCACATTTTTGTAATGACTTTATTTTATTGTTTTATTTTGGTATTTCATGTTTTACTTTACTTTTTATGTTGTTAGTACTGTATTTTATACTGTAAGGTTTAGGATAAACACTGTGTACAACACAAATAGTTGTTTATTTCCCAGAAATTTGGCATAAAAAAAACGGTCGTAAGTTGAGTGGTCATAAGTCAAGCAGGTCGTAAGTCGGATGGTAGGTGTATTAGCTTTGTTTTTAGGTCATCATCTTGTACAGAGATTGGGGAATATGTTAGTGTAAGAAGTGATTTTTGCATTGCTCTGGAGGTACATGTAGTTGTTATGATTCACAGTGCCTTTTATTTCCTAGATTGTAATGATGAATGGACTTTGTAAACATAGCTCAGTGGTAGCACCAACTTAAAACTGAAGAACCCTGGGTTGATCGAGATGTATAGGCAACTGTTCTTTCATCTGTTGCCGTTGTTCACTTTCCAGTAAACAGGTACCTGGGTGTTGGTTGACTGTTATGGGTGTCTTCCTGTGGGGGTAGTAATATACAGTAGATAGGCTGGGTTTTGATGTTTGAAATAACCTGAGATACGGTGATGCAGCTTTTGAACTGTCGTATTGGGATGCTTCTGGCAAGACAGTGATGGTGAAAGTGTTTCTTCATTTCAGGGTCACCCTGCCTTGGTGGGAAACAGCCGAAGTGTTAGGGAAAAAAAAAAGGGTGAATTTTATCTCGATTCATTGGAGTATACACACAAATAAACTGCACTACTGCTACTATTTCCACCACCAACATTACCACTACCACTACTCTTATTTCCACTACCACGTCTACTATTTCCACTACCATATCTACTATTTCTACCACCAGCATTACCACTACTACTATTTCCTCTTCTCTCTCTCTCTTATATATCTTGGCTCACTCACTCTCTTCTGTCAGTGTGACTTGTGAATAGTCCAAGTCAGACCAAAATGTCATGAGCTTTTCTCTCTCCTATGTGCAGGTTATTTGTATATTGTTCCAGTCACAGTATTCTGAATTTTTGTTCTTTATTGGAGTATATAATAAAGCTTGAGTTTAGATATGAGATGTAATACTCTCATGTATGTTGCTGCAGGGGTCTAGTAATGGTGATTCAGTCTGCCTGCTTCCTGTTATATATCAGTGCCATGCTGCTTTGTATTGATATTTTTATTTCTACAACAGATTGCAGCAGAAGAGAAGCGGCTAGCGCCATATCATATCTTTTCTCCGGCATATATCCTGGCACCTATAAAGGAGAGCCGTGGCACCTACAAAGAGGCACAAGAGGCTTTAGGAGTGCCAAGGGAGAAATCCACTATACTAAATTGCACTTATTGTTTGTCTGAAGATCAAAGATGGCTACTGGCAACTGCCACAGATGAATTGGGAGAAATTTTAGAGACTGTAACCATCAGTATAGAAATTCCAAACAGGTAAACTGGCTGTAATATATGATAACATGTCACCATTTTTTAAGTATTGTTTATATTGTTTTTTGTTTTTCCTCAAAATTCCAAAGAAAGTAGCTGCCCTTTTTGAACCCTCTAGAGGCTATGACCTGGTATATAGTTTTCTTGGTTAAAATCTTGACACACCTTTATAAAAAAATAATACTGTACTTGAAATTATTTTTGCCTATTCATTCTCCCACCCTCTGCTCATTACCTTCCTCACCATTTTCTTGTGCTATGGTAGGTTCAGAGATTGGTAAAGGAATTTAAGAGAGTATGTACAAGAATCATTCCCATGTGTGTCTAACTGTAAGCTGATTGACCAACAACTGAGCTTCAGCTCATTTTTATGGACTCAAGAAATTGTAATGACACGATTGGAAACAGACCGCAGTACAGGTGGGGATTGAACTTGTATTTGTGGTCACAGTGGTGGCCCATAATACATTTCCTATGGTGTATAAATATACCTAGTTGGATTAATCTTATTGTAGCCAGCTGGCCCAGTGGCTTACGCACTGGCCTGGCGTTTTAAGACTCCTTGCCACAAGTTCCAACACCACCTGTACCGTGGTTCATTTTTTAAGGACTTCACAGGAAGTCTTGTCTTTCTAACCTTCAGGATCTCATTATATCTACTCTTAAAGCTAGGTGGGAGAGTTTGAGCAGGAAGGAGTAATTGGGATTGCATGCAGAGTTTCTGAAATAACAAGAGGTGAAGGAATATTATAGGTAAAGTAATATTAAATGAACAGTCGTGGAAAGTAAAGGTGGGATACTGCTGTTTCATTTCAAGGTTTAAATTAAGACTCCTCGTAAGAATCGCAGCACAGTGCATTTTCATCAATACAGTCTTAAAAAGAAGTAAATATCTATAATAAAATATAAAAGCTCTATTCTTATAGGGCATTTTGAATGTTTCAGCTTGAATAATGTTCAAAGGTAGGTAGTTGTTAATTTTTTCTCTTCTGTTTTAGAACGAGAAGAAAGAAAGCTTCTGCACGTCGACATGGTCTGAAAAAGTTAATGGATTGGATACTAAGTGTTATGTCTATTGGTGTTCATCCTTGGCGTTTGGTTGTGGGCAGATTAGGAAGAATGGGACACGGAGAATTGAAAGGATGGTCGTCTTTGCTTTCTCGAAAGTCTCTGACACAAGCATCTAAAAATCTTAAGGAGATGTGCAAGCAGTGTGCTTACCTCTTTCCTGGAGATGCACCGTGTATACTCTCTGCTTGCTTAGTTTCTATGGAGCCCGATTCTTCATTTCGAATTATGCCAGATATGTTTACACCCGATGAAAGATTTGGCCAGAATAGTCAAAATTGCAGTCTGTCTACGCCACAGGACCTCACCTGTACTCACATACTGGTCTTCCCAACATCTGCTACAGCACAGGTGTGTATAAATAGACAAGAGTGTTTATCAGGGATATTTTTTTTTTTTTTGCTAGGATCAGTGTCCTAAACACTGGTGAAAAGTGAGAAGCCATGTGGATAAATATATTACAAGCATTTAGATCTGTATATTAGAGCCTCTATCAGAGAGACTTCATCAGATGAATAGTGTTTCTGAGGTCAAATTATACACAACTCTTATCTGCTCATTTTTCTGTCAAAATGATTTTTCACTTGTCATATTTTGTCCCCTTTAATTTCTTGCAAATAATAACCTTTTTTATTTTATATAATTGTATTGTAATGTATTCATTTTATCATAGTTTTTGGTTTTCACTTTTAGAATTTGGTTGTTTTTAGAATTTAAAAAAAAATTATTGCATTTATTTATCTGTTATTTCTTGCCAAATCAGTTAATTGGTCACTCAGCATTAGGTATTAAAATACTCTTAGAATTTTTTTTTTTTTACACAGTGGTCATCTCCCACTGAGGCAAATTGATCTGAAAAAGAAGAACTGTAAATTTTTCTTCTTTATATATTTGGTTTATTAGGTATTAAACATACCTTTGAAATTATAATTTGTTAGCATATATTAATAAATTTTTTTCCTTGCAGTCAGCACAGCAGAGATTCCAAGATGAGCAAGCTGTACATTTTGAAAATGTCGACTTGTTATTGGATGAAGATTTGCGAGATGATATGGGTGGCGGCATGGGTGATATTGGTATTGGAATGGGATTAAGCTTAAATGAAATTCTCATGCTTGATAACTGTCCAAATCAAGATGATCAGATGGATGATGGTAGTGGCCAGCGAGACTCGCTCTCTCAACCCGGTAGTCCAACTATGGGAGGAGGGGGTGGAACAAGTCCCTCGCAATTTTCCGGACAGGCTCGTAGCAATGGAGTGGTTTTGGTTGATCCGCAAGAAGACTCTAGTGGTTCTGTCTTGCAACAACCTCTTGCTCTTGGATATTATGTGTCGACGGCCTCCACCGGGCGACTCCCGAGATGGTTCTGGTCGTCCTGCCCACACCTTGAATCATCTTGCCCAGTATTTCTAAAGTCAGCCCTCCACCTCCATTCTCCAGGCATTACTCAGTCTGAGGAATTTTTGCATAGCACAAATAACAAAGTCCACCCTTTGGATTCTTCATATACCACTGATGTTCTCAGGTAAGATAATTTAACCTTTGTTTTATTTTAACAGGTACAGTAGATCCTTGAGCAACACTAAGGTTACAGTCCTGAAAATTGGCATTTAATTCAAATTAGCATCAGCCAAAGTGAAGAACTTTCTTTTGAAATAAAGAGACAAACTTTTTTAACCCTTAAACGGTCCAAACGTATATATACGTTTTTTCAACATTTGAAAGTATGTAAAAAAAGTAGATCTTTTTTTGTTTTTTTAATTTGAAAAAGTGTAAAAAAAAAATTTTTATTACTTTTTTTTGTTATTTTTGAAAATATGTAAAAAAAAAAAGTAGATCTATTTTGTAGCTTACACATGTGAAAGTAGATTTCTTGGACCGTTTACGGGTTAAAAAAGCCCAAAAGCAATTTTATCTTTTTCAAATTATGACAGCATTTTGCGTTTTTAAAAAGCAAATGTGTGTGTGGGAGGGCGATTTTGGGTCTCTACAATTCTCCACAAAACATTCTGACTACCATTGCCTTAAATTTTAATTTTAAAATTTTTTGAGTATCTTTATTTAGGGGAAAGTTTTGCCACAAGGGCTTTATCAGCCTACAAAGGGAAACGTGAAGAACAGGAGGAGAAAGAGGTAATCGTCCCTCAACCTTGAGTCGATGTGGTCAGTCCATCAATCTTGAATAGAATACAGCATATGTGCGGAGAAGTAGCTTATATACCGTAGGCAGGAGAGGTGCAGCAGATGTAGGTGGTGTCACATTTGTTCATTGTGGAAGTAGGTCGTGCCCTAGGGTTAGGCAAGCGAAGAATTCCCAAGTATTAAGATCCCAAGAAGTTGCAGTGTCTGACAGGATTGCAGATGAATGGTTCAGAGAACCGACACGTTGATATATCAGACACGTGCAACTCTTGGGTATCTTTATTGAGGAAACGTTTTGCCACACAGTGGCTTCATCAGTCCATACAAAGGAGAATCGTGAAGAACAGGAGGAGAATGAGGTAATCAGTCCCTAAACCTTGAGTCGATGTGGTTTACCATACATGTAGTGTGTAGCTCTGCTGAAGTCTCATTACTCAAGGGTTTACCATACATGCAGTGTGTAGCTCTGCTGAAGTCTCATTACTCAAGGGTTTACCATACATGCAGTATGTAGCTCTGCTGAAGTCTCATTACTCAAGGGTTTACCATACATGCAGTGTGTAGCTCTGCTGAAGTCTCATTACTCAAGGGTTTACCATACATGCAGTGTGTAGCTCTGCTGAAGTCTCATTACTCAAGGGTTTACCATACCTTATCTTAAGCACAAATACCACTCAGCTACACCATACTATAATTTTTAGCATAACATGTATAGTAAAATTGTTTAGCATTTTTATCATCTTTCTTAAAATCTGAAGGTTATTTTATACAGTAGTTTGCTAGTAATTGCTGTACTATGTAACTGCTTATAATTACTGCATTATGTAGTTGTGGCTACAGAAATAATGCTATACTCAGTGTCCTGTCTTCAATTAATAATAGTGTATGTTTTTAATGTCCAGTGGTTGTGATACTTTACTTCCTCTTTTAATCCAGTGCATTGTTTTTTCTGCTGTGAAGGAAAACTTTCTAGTATCCTTAAAAAATTGTCAGTATACTGTGGCTGGAACAATACACAAATAACCTGCGCATAGGAGAAAGAAACTTACGTCAACATATCAGTCCAACTTGTGCGGGTTATTTTTGTAATTTTAGTAAACTTTCAGCACAGTTTCTATTTTTTAGTTTACAACTTTGGCATCGTGTTCTTCATTATTTATTCATTCACATTCATTTCTAATCTTAGATGAGCTTATGTCTACTTCCTCTTAGAGGCATATATTGAAGGCTTTCAGATTTTTTGCAGCACGTCTTCAGATTTGTTAGTTTATTCTTGTCATTTTTTAGTTGCAGACTTCATAGCAATACTGCATAAACTAATTTGAAGAGGGTTTTACAAAATCCTCATATACAGGTCGGCCATCACTAATCCGGCAATCAGTTACCTGGTTCCATCACTAATTTTTCCTAGCATAATTCCAAATTTCATTATTATACTGACTCAGAAATTGTGTAGATGGTTGTAAATTCACAGCAGCAAGCCAGTGGAGGAGAAAGCAGTGATGAAAATGAGGAAGATGTAGCAGAAATTAACCTGTTGATAGGTTAATTAAGTGTATTCTAACCTAACCACTCTAATCCAGCTAACTCGGTAGTCCGGCACACTGCAGGTCCCAGTGATGCTGGATTAGTGATGGCCGACCTGTATATGGTTTAAATTTTACTATTGTTGCAGCAGTTTGTTATATTCATGATTAAGTGTTAAACTTGTAGATCCTATACAGTGCCTGGGGAATGGGAGGTAATTATTATTACTCTTCATGCATCAGTCATCACTATGTGGTTAGCATTAATTAACTGCAAAGAAATAAACTTATTTATCTGTCTCAAGGTTAACAGAGAATTGAACCTTCACTCCTACAAATCTTATTACACCTGGAATTTTTTGCACTTTAAAGATTATACGGGGAAGTTTTTTGTGCTTCTAATGGCCATTAATTTCTTTGATTACTGCACATTGTTGTGTATGTATAAGTAATTTTACATGGTTTTTGTGCTCTATCTAATTTCTTAGTGCTCTCAGCTTTATACAGTTAAATTTAAAAGGCTGACTGCCTCCTTTGTGTGACCATCTTGTGCTGTCTGTTGAGATAATGCCTTGGTATTCATATTTAACTCCTTTCTTACAACGCACCAGCATATCCCACCGAAGCAGGGTGGACCAAAAGGAAAAACAGAAGTTTCTCTTTTTAACTTTAGTGATGTATACAAGAGGAGGAGTTACTAGCCTCTTGCTCCTGGCATTTTAGTCACCTCTTACAACACAGATGGGTTACGGAGGAAGAATTCTGTTCCACTTCCCCATTTAGCCTGATTGAACTGTTCTCTGTAATATGCATTTCTGTGTAAGCTACAAAGTGTAATTTGTTTGTATTAGGTTATTTACTAAAGATACTTAATTAAGATCTATTACACATGTATCTTTATACCTTTGAGTTTGGTATTTTCTAGAGCCAGGCTTGCCTGGTCAGTCAGGCTGTTGTTATTGCTGGTTGTCCACTGGTCCACATATCCATCCTGGTTGATCTGCCACTTGGTGCAAGATACTTGTTCAATTGTCTCTCTAAGCCTACTATACTTGTCCTAGTAGTGTTTGTGGTATCTTTGGGTAAGATGTTGATACATTATTCTCTTGTTGTGCCCCACCCCTTGGTGGTAGATTTATATGATAATTATTGGTTGAATTTTGTGTTGGCTTAGTTCAGCAGTTCCCCATTGGAATTTTTTTCATATGGGAGAGGGAAAAGTATTATTTTAGAAGATTTAATGCAGTTGTTTCAGGAAATGCACTGTTGTACTAATTAGGACTTCCAAACTGTATGCTATCCATTATTATATTAAAAATAAGTCAGTTTTGATCCATCCTGGATCATTTTAATGCATGAAAATTGTTACAGTAATGATACTAATTTATTTTAATTTTCAGATATGTTCTTGAAGGCTACAATGGGCTTTCGTGGCTAGTCCTAGATCCTGCTAAACAGGACAGAAGATCGTGCCTGCCACTACACATGCAAGTCCTGTCCCATCTCTACAATGTTATGGCAGCCCTTGTTTGATAGCCAGCCAATGAACTCTTGAAGAAATTTGGCCTGTTTTCATTCTTCTCGTCTTGCTTTCTTATCTCAATTCGCTCTGGTGCAATTCATGGGCTTTACATGGAGATATTATTAGGCCACACAGTTACATGACAAAGTGCCCTTCACACAAAATTGGTCTTGTTAAATATATGCAAGGTTGCTATTTCAAATAGTCGTATACTTTTGTATTCATATAAATTTTAATGTTTAAAGATTCTATAGTGACAAATATTCATAGAATCTCTAAAAAAAAAGTAGCTGTTTGTATTCAGAACCATTTAATACAGGGCATTATGTCCAGAAATTTGGCAACAGAAATCAATAATATATTATTATTGATAATGTAATTGATAATAGTAATAATTAAAATAATAGTATACAAATGAAAGGCCTTTCTTATTTGGTGAGGCCTATATAAATATTGATACACTAGCCAAAGCACACTTACTCATTTGTAATAAGTGTAGAGAAAGCCAGTGCCTGGGTGGACATGGAAAGTAAACATCAAGAATACTACTTAAGCAAATTATCTGAAGACAAGTGTATGAAGATTAGTGGATAGCAGTTTAACCAAAGCATTATTAAATAGGGCTGATGCATAATTTTTTTAAATGCTCAAAGAGAAGGTCATACCTCACAAAACTTGCATTATCTCTTAAGATCACTGTATATACTTAACTTATTATGGCCAGAAGTCCACCACAAAGCAATCAAAACAGACCTGCCTTATGATAATGAACAGATTTAAATTAATAGGTGGATAAACTTTTCAGGAGCACAAGTTTCATAAATTATTATGAAGTAAAATAATGCTCATTTTTCACAATGATATATTTTGGAATCACACAATGAATTACTTGCCAGAGCAAAACTAGGTGGGCCGTTTGTATCGTGGGCTGGGCGCAGTAAACCAGTGCATTGTTAGTGACTAGTATCCAAGCAGGATTGTCTGTGATAATGATAACAGATTGATTGTACTTCATAATTGGATATTTATGCCTTTTTATTATTAACACTCGTTTCAGCATAGCCTGGTGCTGATGACTTTAATAATGTAAATAAAGCAGTGGTGTTGTACAAGCTGGGTGGGTCAGATCTTTTAATGCCTTGATATGCTACTGCCCTGAGGCTCTCAGAGTAGTGTACAATGTAAGTTGTACCAATATGTGTACATATAGCCTCTTGCACCTGTAGCCAAATTGTAAATAATTATTATGGCAGGTGGCTCCTTAATGGAGCACGAGTAGGCAGTAGCATCTCAGTGGCACACAGGTTCCCCACCTCTCTCCCAGCCCCTCCCCCTCCCCCCCACTGCTCTTATGTACAGAATCTAGGTTACATGTACAGTGAGACACAAGTTTTACACCTCCTGACTGTTTATACAAGTTAAGTATTTTCCCCCTAATGCAACCACCTCCAAACTTTATGCAAATGGAGGGGTTGTGATGTATAATATTTCTGTCGGTAAATTCAATTGTTTATTTTGAGACTAACTTGAAAAAACATAAAAAATCAAGTAGCATGTAAGGTTAGATAGTTTAAAGAAAGTATTTTACAAATGAAACATTTGTACAAGGAGTGTATTTTAAAAAAGGTGAATAACCAAGTGGAAGATGGCAGAAACCTTCCATGGCAAGTATTGGCTTCACTCGTCCCAGGGCCTCAGGAGTTGGGCAATCAGGCAGCTAAGTACAGTAATCTCTTCCCTCAGCTGCAGTCTTGGTGTCATCTATCAGGTTTCTGTTGCACCAGCATTATGGCCATCTAATGTTTAAACAATATTATGGTGGTTGTTTCTACAATTGATAGTGAACAGCAGAGCTGTTTTTGTCCCCAGTTAGTTGCAATATTTGCAATGATGGGGTATTAAAATCCATGTATATGCTGCAGCCAAAGATATCAGAAACGTGCCTGAGGATGCCCAGTTGGGGCCAAAGGGATTGAGAATGAAGACAAAACTTAATGCACTTTTATGCATTCTTCTGAGGTTGGGACAGCCTTACGCCAGCCAGGGTGTGTGTGGAGCAATCTATTTATGTGCGTCTCGTTAATTCTGACCTGCCTACCTGTCTACCAAGTGGAATGTGTGAGAACCTAAGAGTTTTGTTAAATTTTTTAAGAAATTTGTATTTTACAGGAAAATTTTAGCATTTTATATGTAGAGTTTTATTTGTGTAAACAATTTTTGACTATGCAGTATTGTAGACAGAGTATTTGCTGGTGTTTCATCAGGTTATGAAAAACACTGACATTTATTAAGTGGTTGTTGATTCTCATTCCATTATTCAATTACAAAAAATATAATTTGTTTCATATATTTGAAAAAAATTATAAACACTGCAATAAGAAGACTGGATGCAATCACATGAAATAACAAGAAGTTAGCTTTGTATAGTGTAGACAGATTACAGGTCTTATTCTGCTGTGGGTCTAGTGGCAGCTCCCTTTCTTCCTTGCTCAATACTGTCATCATGTTCATTCTTATATCACATTCATGGATACAACACTTTGGCCAACTTCGTACAAAAGCATGCAAGTCATATACGTATGTCTATTGCTGCCTGAATCTTCTAAAAAAAACAACTCTTTCAAATACACACACAACTTTAGACAATGATATAGTGGAAGCTGTCTTATGGGAGTTCACAAGGACTCTTAGCACTGTGGTGCCTAACATCCCTCCCCCCCGTTACAGTACCCAGACATACACTGAAACCTTCACCCCCATTTCCTTCCCACTCATACTAACCCTACCACTCTTTGAAATGCATACCTCCTGTACTTTTAACAACCCCTTTCTTATTTCGGTGTCTGTTTCTGGGATGTTTCACCTGGATGGCGGGCTTCTTCAGTCAAATGCAGAAGTGAAAAATACATGGAGGCAGTTGAAGATGAGACTGAGGTACTCAGTCCCACAACCTTGAGAGATGTTCAGTTCCGTAGCATTGATCACTGATCAGTTCTGTGAAACCAAACGTCCTCCCTCAGTGCTGAGGAACCGAACACCTTTATCTCTTCAACTGTCTCGAGTGTTTTAGTCATTTCTGTATTCATCTGAAGAAGTGTTGCCCATGTGTCTTAATTCATTAACTTGTTGGTATTGTATATCATTGATATAAATCATGGAATGGGTGGGGATTGAACCCACACAAATGAGTCCTAAAACTTGTAGGCCAGTTGGCTTTAGTTATTAGAGCCAACTGGCCCGTGGTTAGCACACTTACCTCTGAGATTTAGGACTTGCTAGCCATGGGTCAGAGTCCCACCCATTCCATGATTTGTTTGCAATCATATTATTACGATTTTGTGAGTCATACCATTAATGTAACACCCTACACCACATCACCTTTACAAAGCAATTCCACCCTACACACTTCCCTACCATTACCCCCTCCCGTCACCAAACTTCCCTCCTGAACAGACTTGCTAAAAAAAAAAAATTGACAATATTATGTATACAATCACACCACATTGTGTAGACATAACTAAAGTCATTGTTATCAAAGTGTATTTATTAATTCCAACATAATCAAGAGAAGCTGACAAAAATATTTGTTTTTGGGGTCGTATGTTAATAGTAATGTACATGACTGACAACATACCCGTGACTGGTTTTGAGGGTATGCCTACCCTCACAGTTGGCCTGAGGCCACTCTGTAAGACATTACACCACTTGTGCATGAGCAGGCATTATATATTATTATATTGTTGTACCTATGCTGTAAGAAAAGCATAGTTTATTTTATAATTTTCTCACATCAGTCTGCACAATTATATAAAAAATTAATTGATTTGAAAGACCCGTATTTTAATCTAATATGAACTGGAGAGTAGTTCTAATATATTGTATTTATAACTTTAGAACTGTATTCACTGTTAACACTCAAATGCGACACTTGGTCACTATTAATTTTATGCACTCAAAAATACTCTCTCTTTTTGTCAGAATGTCCTGTGCTGTTGTAATTATTTTACTTGTTTACACCATATCATACCTGTGTTTGTTATGGGTCGCTGCTCTAGCCTAAAGGCTGTGTGAATGTTCGTGCAAAAGTGACAGAGTGATTGTTGGGGAAGTAAGCTCCAACTTTCCCCACTCTCATTATTATCATTGGTATAAAATACAATTTTATGTGTAATATGAAGTTTTTTATCCTTATATCAACTTTGTAGTTTAGCACTTATTATAATAAAAAAACATTAATATACGACAAATGATACAGTTGCAGCATTGACCATTTACTAGATTGTCATGGCTATTTTCTTAATCTTGGAAGTGCTTTGATGCTGGTGATGGGCTCTTGATCCAAGGAATTGGACCTGTTCTCTCTTGGAATGAACCTGAGTGTCTCCCATCCTCAGAAAGCTTCCTCAATGATAGTAAGGGGGTTCTTGATCTAAGGAATTAGATCTGAACTCTGGATTGAGATTGATTACATAGTTAAAGTGCTGTAGGACCCTATGGGTTTAAAGCCTTCCCCTAAATAAAATATAAGTTAACTTGATCACATTCCAACATCATCCACAAAATTTGCTGGAGGATGAAGCCTCTGAAATTCAAACCCTCTTTTTTTATCTCACTGTTCCCAGGATGACCCCCAACCCTCCTACCTTCCATCCCAGATTTATACACCCTCATGATAATCTCTCTCCATTCTTTAATGAGTTGAGAGCATTTATGGATGACAGAGATTCAGTTAATTAAAGTGTCAACTTTAAATACATGGACACATTTGAGTGCAAGGAGTATGGCAAACAGTTGTCCGAAGGGATAGAGGCCCAGTTATTGATGTGCGCTCCAATTTCTTTGAGTGCCATCACTGTGACAGCAGCACCAGTGGATGGTGAACAGAACCTCTATATGGTTATATATTCTAGAAGAGACCCATCATGCAACTGCACCTCTATCAAGGAGGATGCCTATTGAATATAAGATTATTAACCCAAGGTCATGACACTAGGCTAATACATATATGGTTGGAGAATCTAGTGGTGTGAATCATTAGCAAAATTAATCATATAATGATGGGGCTGGCTAGGCATGGCATTAGTGAGACTGAGCATACCTCCCTGTGGGGTTTCTAATTCCAAGTCTAGTTATATTTGTATGCCCCTGGAACAACACCCAAAACTATAGCCTTGAAGCCATCATCTAATGTCCATTCTATTAAGTTTACTAATGATTACATGTCAGTTAGTTACATCAAAAGCAGAGAAGGTGGCTATGCAATGATGAGCTCTCCTTCCATGCATGAAACTAGGTAGATAAGCATTATTTGATTCTGTATACAAGAATAATCTTCTCAAATGTTTTACACAAGCAGCTAGTAAGAGATATTGGGTTAGGAATTGTGATGGTGAGGCTGTTGGTCCAAGATAGAGGGAGCTCCCCGGTTACATAATTCAAGGAAAGGATTACCCAGTATTCAACACAGCAGTCTGAATATGTTATAAGTAATACCAGGCGACATGGAGATACCCTTAATGCAAGGAATGTTAGTCATCTTTCTTGCTGAGCATAAAACAAATGAATGTCTTGCTTTCATCATATTTGTCAATTAATTTTGCTTGTGTGGTACTGGGAAGATAATCTTAGCTAGATGTAGCAGTGATTAGGTCATTCACTCTATGTAAAGGATGAGGGTGTGCAATGTGACCAATTCTGTTACACTTCATTCTATTTATGTCCCTCCATGCTTGGCTAAGGGGTGTGACCACTGACAAATTTTTCCCCAACAAGGTCATTTTGAAAGAGCCTTAGCATTGCAGGGGTACCAGCTTTCTATAGGCTAGGCCTAGTCTGTGAGGAGTACGTTTGAGTGTTCGAAGTTTAGGATCATTGTAATAAATATTATTTTTACAAAGTTAATAGGGTTTAGAGTTCCAGGTTTCAGTGGCAGCTCTAAGAAGTTTTGAATACTGCTTACAAGGTCTCAACAGAAGAACACTCAGGAATTATACCAGTTAGTCACATGTGCAACAAAGTCATCATGCTGATCAGGGAAAATATTCAAACATTTCCTTTTGAATATCCCAGTAGGAAGGATAGTATTACCAATATCTAGCGAGGTTAGCCATGGGAAATGATATATCTGTTATAATGGAAGACTCGCAGCAATAATGTTTAAGCCAGGGAAGTCTCCATAGATATATATGGGCTCAAGGTTACCTACAATTTGCAACATTATCATGATTATTTACAAGTGAGAACAATTGTTTACCAAAATGAATTTCCAATGGTTTTGTGTCTTGTATTATAATCACCAGTAATAAGAGCAGGTTCAGACTGAGCACAAGTTGGGAGCTCCAAATAATTAAACTTAAATGCTCATGATGATAAGTTAAATAAGTTGACAGGAGAATTCCCAATATACATCCTAGCACCATGATACTGTAGCTCCTGTTTTCTTATGTGTGAGAAATGATTTTTTAATATATAGAATAAGTAGATTTGAGGTTATATGTAACAAATGATGGCAATTTAGGGGGTTGGGACTCGGCACTTGTACACACAATATCAATGGGTTCAATAGTTACTTTATGGTGAAGGTCAGAAAATATTTTAAGTGATGAAATATTTCAGAAAGTTTATACAAATTTTAATCCATTATAAAAATCCTGGGATCTTAGTTTCTCAGCATAATGAAAAAAAAAAATTGTTCATATAAATAGACCCCATCAATGTTACCCTGATTCATGAGTTTTTCAAGTTCACTTCCAGTTGTAAGGCCTCATGGGAGTCTTTGTTTACACAGAGCACAACACTGTTCATGTGTGAATATATGATAGGTGGCACTACCACTCACATTCCCTCCTCTACTAGCATTACACGCATCACCAACATTTATCAGCAGTGTATAACAATGTCAATGTTGTTAACCTCACTACCACTTATATTGCCTCGTGGGAGTCTGTTTACAGAGGGCACGGCACTCTTTGTCTGTGAATGTATGGCAGGTGACTATCCCTCTCCACTATTATCACAGGTACCACTTCCCTCATCATTATGACCAGTGTTAAATAGAACATTATTGACAACCAGGCTATCTCCACACTCGGTATTTATCAATACATTACACTCATCATTTTTACTATCATGATGGTCACTACTGCCCTTAAGTGTTTTTTTTTTTTTTGGGGGGGGGGGGGCACAGTAAACAGTGGATAACTGAAATTATAGATATTATAACTGTGGATACAGGGGTCCTACCATATATCCTTTACATCCATGTCTCTACTGTCCATCTATTGACCCCTTGCCCCTATGATTCTCATTTCAAAAGGTCTGTCCCTGTATAATTAGTTGAAGTCTCAAGTGATTTATGGGTCATAACTAATCTCAAACCTCTAATCCTGTATAAATTATTAAATTTAAAAAGAAAAACTTTTCTTTTTCTTTTTAGGTCAGCCTGCCTTGGTGGGATATGGCTGGTGCATAAAAAAAAAACCTGACCCTCCTAATTTTCTCTTCTACAGTTGTCACTCGCTTCCTAAACCTCCCTCGTTGTGAGTGTGGATGTGGGAAATTTAGCTATTTTGACTCGTGAAATCGTAATAACATGATTGCAAACAGACCATGGAACAGGTGGGGTTTCAACCCATGGTCTGCAGTTTTACGACTCACTCACCATGGGTTCTAACCCCACCCACTATTTTTTCACCTATCTGTTGGCTGTAGACTGCTACTGAAAAAAAAAGGGTTGACAAAAGCTTCAAGAAAACTCGATTATCATTTAATTCAATGTGTCTCATTCCACTACATTACATTATCTTAACATTGTACAATAATCATTAGTGTTTCCCAAGAACATAAGAGTAAACTCATATGGGTCATTCTGTGCCTGGGAAATGGGATGTAATCAGGTTTACTCCAAGGAAGGAGAGAGCGGCTCTAATGTATATACTGAAATTTCAAATTTTTATTAAGGGGTAATTTAGATAAATTCTATTGTCAAAGATATTTATAAATTTTAGAAATTCTGTATACTTTCATTTCTCCCAATTACTATAATTTCAAAGTGTTCCACTAGTTTTTTTGACTTACAACTTGACCCATGTGTAGATCTGAATACTATATTAGGAGATAAAAGACATTTAGCTGGAAATTATTCACAGGTATTGTACAAAATAAATGGAATGTTCTCTCTCTCTACTGGGTTAAATTAAAGTCAGCCTGTGGTAAAATGGTAGAAAAATTACTTAGAGTAGAACAAACCTATGTCAGAGGATATTTTAAATCATGTAGAGATCCTTACAGAAAGGAGAATTCACTTTCCTGCTCTGATCTAGTATACCTCCCAGTAGCAATGACTACACTGCTAGTGGGAGAATTCCTCCCACAGCAATCATTGTTATGACACAGACTTTTCCTACACACAATTATTAAACAGTGGCCTTTTTTCAAATACAGGATGACCCAGCTGGTACGGCATCTTCTTGTCGGTGTTCCACATTTTTGCTGGATTCAAACTGAGCCAGTGTTCATTTTGTTCCACCTGCAGGTGACTCACTGGCAAGTGGAACAATGGCTGAACTGAAAACCAACAAGAATATGGGACACTGAAAAAAGGCGGTGTGTATTCAGGGCCATCTTGTACACCTTCACAAAGCTCTATACTAAGTACAGTGGACCCCCAGTTTAAGATATTATTTCATTCCAGAAGTATGTTCAGGTGCCAGTACTGAACGAATTTGTTCCCATAAGGAATGTTGTGAATTAGATTAGTCCATTTCAGACCCCCAAACATACATGTACAAACGCACTTACATAATTGGTCGCATTGGGAGGTGATCGTAAACCAGGGGTCCACTGTATTGACAATGCCTATCTTCCTTAACTAGAGTAAGTTATAAGAATGAATTAGTTTATTCAAGTGACAGTGCAGTAAGTGTGTCTTGTGCAGATTTAAGCTGAACTAACAAGCTGTCTACTTGAGGTGCAGTCATTTCAACACAGAGGTCACTGGTGCCTTTCATACTTTGAGGTGGAGATGTGTGGAGGTGGAGTGTTAGAAAGCACTCGTTCAGGTCTAGCACCTTGTCACTTGCAACACTCAGCTGCCAAAGAGAAAAATGAACAAGAATTAAAATTGTTTCACAGAAGATACTGCATCTTTCTTTCAACACACCGGCCGTATCCCGCCGAGGCAGGGCGGCCGAAAAGGAAAAACGAAAGTTTCTCCTTTTGCATTTAGTAATATATACAGGAGAAGGGGTTACTAGCCCCTTGCTCCTGGCATTTTAGTCGTCTCTTACAACACGCATGGCTTATGGAGAAAAAAAATTTGTCCACTTCCCCGAGGAAATAAACAAGAACAAGAACTAGAAAGAAAATAGCAGAAAACCCAGAGGGGTGTGTATATATATGCTTGTACATGTATGTGTAGTGTGACCTAATTGTAAGTAGAAGTAGCAAGACGTACCTGAAATCTTGAATGTTTATGAGAAAGAAAAAAGGAACAGCAATCCTGCCATCATGTAAAACAATACGGGCTTTTGTTTACATCACTTGGCAGGACGGTAGTACCTCCCTGGGTGGTTGCTGTCTACCAACCTACTACCTAGGAAGATACTGTATATTTAATGTTATTATGGAGCTATCAGAAGGGAGACTTATACATAATTAAAATTTAACACTCCATAACGTATGTCTAGTTTTAAACCTTTCAGGGTCCAGAGGCCAAATTTCAAAGGGTGCACCAGTGTCCAGGAATTTTCAAAAAATAATTATTTTTTCTTACAAAATGGTAGAGAATCTTTTTCTGAAGGTAATAAAACAAAGTACGAAATTTGATGGAAAAATTGATGAAATTATGCTCTCACGAATTGTGATGTGTCAGTGATATTTATGCATCGGAGATTTGGCGGACTTTGACTCACATTTTAGGCCAATTACATTATTCCAGTCGACTAAATTCTTAGCTATTTCACTAGTATTACTTCTATTCTATCGACTGAGCACAAGAATTCGCAAAGTTAACTGTTTCAACTACAAAATAAAGTGATCGGAAATTAGCAACTTGGCCAATTTAATGCAAAGTTCAAAATACTTCAATTTCAAAACAGGGTCCAGAATAAACAATGCAGACATTCCTGGCACTAAACTAACATTTCCTCTGTTCATTAGTTACATTTTCAGGCTTTACTAATGAATTACATTTTGATTTTTTATTCACATAAACAATTTTTATTCAACCAAACAATAGAAGATTTACTGTTATGCAATATTGTAATAATTGTATAAATAATATCAGAACATTTGTGAACACATATTAGTCCCACCAGCTGGTGAGTATTAGACACGTGGGATCATTTGTTTACTCTTGAACATCGGCAAAAATTTAACATTTCCACTACTTTGAGCTCAGTTTCAAGCCATTTCCAGTGCTAAAACCAATCAAAATCATCTCTATTTCTGTAATATATCTTCCATTCTATCAAATGGGACCAAGAAATCTTAAATGCAACTATGAAAAAATACTGCAAAGTCGCTGTTTTAATCGAAAATTACAGTCTCAGTTTTTTTTCTTTCATTATGCACTATGTGATGCAGGATTTGTTTTATGTGGTGCACACACACCACATGTATGAATTCTCTCATATCTAGGCCAAAATTTACTGCTCACAGCTTATCAGACTGAGCTGAGCTCATGACGTAGATCTACGGTTTGGACCCTCAACAAAGCCGTAGATCTATGGCACGGACCCTCAAAGGGTTAACCCTTTCAGGGTTTCAGATGTATTAGTACGGCTTACGCACCAGGGTTTTTGACGTACTAGTATGCCTAAATTCTAGCGCCCTCAAATCTAGTGAGAGAAAGCTGGTAGGCCTACATATGAAAGAATGGGTCTGTGTGGGCAGTATAAAAAAATTCCTGCAGCACACAGTGTGTAATGAGAAAAAAAAAACTTTGACCGTGTTTTTGGATTAAAACAGCAACTTTGCAATGTATTTTCGTATGGCATTTATTATTGTATTCTAGTTTCCTGGTCTCATTTTATAGAATGGAAGACATATTACAGAAATTGAGATGATTTTGACTGGTTTTACAATGAAAAGTACCTTGAAATTGAGCTCAAAGTAGCAGAAATGTTCGATTTTTACCAAAGTTCAAAAGTAAGCAAATCATGCCAAGCGTCCAATACACGTCAACTGGTGAGTCTAATATTCTTTCACAAGTGCGCTGATATTATTTATACAATTTCTACAGTAATGCAGTAGTCTGCATAACAGTAAATCTTCTAATTTTTTGTGAGAAAAATGCAAAGTGGAAAGCAAAAGAATGTAAGAGGGGCGTGGGGACGTGACTAATGAACAGAGGAAATGTTATTTTAGTGCCAGGAATGTCTTTCTTGTTTATTCTGGACCCTATTTGGAAATTGGCAACTTTTGAAATTTGTGTGAAATTAGCAAAATTCTGACCACTGTATTGGATAATTGAAATCAGTAAATGGGTGGTTTCTTGTACTCATTTGATAGAAAAATGGAGTTCTAGTGAAATAGTTATGATTTTTGTGAACTAGTACACTGGAATTGGCTGAAAATAGGGCTCAAAGTGGGCAAAATCACCGATGCATAAGCATCGTCGAGACCGCTAACTTCGCAAGAGCATAATTCCGTAAGTTTTCCATCAAATTTCATAATTTTGGTGTCAATATGATCGGGAAAAGATTCTCTATCTTTTCATAAGAATTTTTTTTTTTTTTTTTAAATTTGGGCGACCCTGAGAACAAGTCTGGGAGAGGGCCTGTGGACCCTGAAAGGGTTAAGGGACATTTAGGATTTTTATCAGTCTAACATATGTGGGATATACTGTGTGTGGCTGGATTAGCAATGCTCTAGTCTCACACACAGTGTCCATGGTTCATTCCTTGGTACGGGTGGAAATGTTTCCTTACACCTACTATCCCTGTTCATCTAGCAGTAAGCAGGTACCTGGGTGTTACTTGTCTGGTGTGGGTGGCATCCTGGGAAACAAGATTAAAAGACCTTAAGAGTAATGGACAGAACATACCGCCTCCAGGCTGAGGGACTGATTATCTCAAACTCCTCATTTTCCACCTTTCCCTGCATTGGACTGAAGAAGCCACTGGATGGCGAAACATTTCCAGAATAATGATACAGTGGACCCCCGCCTAACGATATTATTTCAATCCAGAAGTCTGTTCGGGTGCCGTTATAGACCGAATTTGTTCCCATAAGGAATATTGTGAATTAGATTAGTCCGTTTCAGAACCCCAAAAATACACCTACAAAAGCACTTACAAAAATACACTTACATAATTGGTCGAGCTGGGAGCTGATCGTTAGGCGGGGGTCCACTGTGCTCAAATGTTACACAAATGTCTCATTTCTTAACCCCAATGCACTGACTTCCTTGGGTTATCCTGGATGGCTAACCCTCTGGGTTAAGAATCTCAACAAATCGTACCTTACCTCAATGTTGCTCTAGGGAAGGTTATCAGAACTGTGATGTATAAAACTGATAAAAGTTCATGTGTTTTTGTGTCACTCAAGCTTGGTGGAAAGCATTTAATATTAAAAAAAAAAAAAAAAAAAAAAAAGGAGAGAGACACTGTAGATAATGATGGAACATCGTACAAACACAGATATTATTAGGAACAACACAAGGCTGTAATACTGTCAAGACTCGTCAGTAAGAGGAACCAACCCGCATGGTACCAAACACATACACAGTACATTGATCTACGTATTTTAACCTCAGATCAAATCAAAATATAGAGAATTAAACTTCATCCATGTCATTATCACCAGGTGGGTTAAAATTTATTTCTCTGCAAGTAGTACATTGAGATTATGTATTTACAATAATGGGTTGAGGTGCAAAGAGAGCCTCTATTATGCCTAGGCATTTGGGCTGACTTAATTTAATGGCTTACTGACTACTTAACACTTAAGAAATTTATCATAGCTGTACAATAGCTCTATTAATTATAAATGAATCTAAATTATATAAACCAAAGGATATATTCATATATTCAAAAATGTTTTTTTTGAGACATAATTCAATTATATTCCTGTCAACAATGGACAATATGTTCAAAAGTAATTATTGAAATTATATTATGGGAATATAACAATGTGATTTGCTAAAAGAGTAGTTTACAGTATGAGAATGCTAACAATTTGGTGTAGGGCAATACTGTTTTGGGTAGGTATTTGTAGTAGGTATTTAGGTAGGTAGTAGGTTGGTAGACAGCAACCACCCAGGGAAGTACTACCGTCCTGTGGTAGTAGGTTGGTAGACAGCAACCACCCAGGGAAGTACTACCATCCTGCCAGATGACTCTGAAACAGAAATCTGTAACTGTTTTGCATGATGGTAGGATTGCTGTTTTCTTTTTCTGTCTCATAAAACACGCTAGATAACAGGGATATCTTGCTACTCCTACTTACACTTTGGTCACACTTCAAAGACATGCACATGCATATATATATACATACATCTAGGTTTTTCTCCTTTTTCTAAATAGCTCTTGTTCTTCTTTATTTCTTCTATTGTCCATGGGGAAGTGGAAAAGAATCTTTCCTCCGTAAGCCATGCGTGTCGTATGAGGCGACTAAAATGCCGGGAGCAATGGGCTAGTAACCCCTTCTCCTGTAGACATTTACTAAAAAAGAGAAGAAGAAAACTTTATAAAACTGGGATGCTTGAATGTGTGTGGATGTAGTGCGGATGACAAGAAACAGATGATTGCTGATGTTATGAATGAAAAAGAGTTGGATGTCCTGGCCCTAAGCGAAACAAAGCTGAAGGGGGTGGGGGAGTTTTGGGGGGGGGAAAAAAAGGGGATTAAATCGGGAGTATTGAGAGATTTTAGGCAAAGGAAGGGGTAGCTTTTAATGTTAAAGGATAAAGTTATAGATGGAGGAAAAGAGAATATGAATGTGTAAATTAAAAATTATGGGGAAATTAAAGAAAAGGTTGCATGCAAAAAGGGGGTTTCAATTAAAAGGTTTGTAGGCCCCTGGGGAAAAAAGGGAATCAGAGGGGGGAAAAGAGATTTGGGGAGATTTTTAAGGGGAATGTATAGGA